AACTCTGTTTTCTCCTTCACAGATGCTGCCAGACCTGCTGAGCCTTTCCAGCAACTTTGTTTTTGTACATCTCATACCACCTACTGAGAAGAAAGTTGAGGCCTGTGGGAACAAACCAAGTTCTTCCTAACCAGCTTCCCTCTTCCAGCTATCCTCCAGCATTTCCAGCCTCCTTTCCACCTCTCCCTTCCTATCTTTCTTCTTTATCTGTATCTTTAAATGCATTGATCTCCAAAGTCCCTCCTCTGTTCCTCTATCACACATTGCTTTTTCATTCTCCCCACTTTCTCCCATGTATTTACTTGGAAAGAGGTTTCAGATTGAATCTCATTCCAAATTCAGATCAATTTGGATGACATAACTGTTTAAATGCATTTGTAAGCTGAAACAAGAGGCTGCTTGAAATTTCAATTTGTATGATCTTGATATTTTTAAATCAACTATAGTATAAATCTTTACATCCTTCTTCTGGTATTATGACAGCCATGATGCTTGGTGATCCCCATTTCACAACTCTTGATGGACTTTCCTACACTTTTAATGGTCTTGGAGATTTTGTGCTGCTTAATGTTGAATCCAGTGATGACACCATTTTTAAGCTCCATGGTCGCACAGTCCAAACGGGTACAGCTCAAGCCACAAACTTCATGGCTTTTGCAGTTCAGCACATACAAGACAAAATTATCACAGTAAGTAAAGATTTTGTCTCAAGACAGAAAAGCATAAAAATAAATGCTTTTTGCCTTGTCTGGCAATGTAAGCATCACAAGGACGCTACCTGGATTAAACGGTATGAGCTATAAGGAGAGGTTGGAAAAATTCGGGTTATTTTATCTGGAGTGGCAGAGGCTGAGGGGAGATTTGATAGAAGTCTATAAAATTATGAGATGCATAGATAGGGTTGACAGTCAGAACCTTTTTCCCAGTGTTGAAATGTCTAATACCAGGGAGCATGCATTTAAGGTGAGAAGGGGCAAGTTCAAAGGAGACGTGAGGAGCAAGTTTTTTTACACAGAGAGTGGTAGGAGTGTGGAATGCATAGCTGGGTGGTGGTGGAGGCAGATACAATAGGGGCATTTAAGGGACTTTTAGATAAGCACACGAATATGCAAGGAATGGAAGGATATGGACATGGGCAGGCAGAGGAATTAGTTTAATTCGGCATCATGTTCAGCACAACATCATGGACTAGAGGGCCCGCTCCTGTGTGCTATGTTCTATGCTCTAAATGTTGAATCATTGGTATTAGAGGTTGTGGCAATTGTTTTCAAGAGTGATGTTACATGATTTCTCTTCAGGTTCAGATGATTTTGAAAGGAAATGATTCAATTGAAGTGCTAGTAAATAATGACATGGTGCAGTTCGTGCCTGATTCTGCAGGTGAGGATAATTTATTATTCTTACCACTTCAAAGTGTGCTGATTTTTTAATAAAATTATTATCAAGTTGAAGTTTACTACGATAGCTTCTACACAACAAAACATTAACATATAATTAAACTCACACAATGTGCACTCAACAAATCATCCTGTTTCTCCCCATCCCTACCTCCACATCCACCACCGCCACTTATATAGTTTCCAGTCCACACCCAGATCATCAGGATTTTACTTTCTCATTCCTTAGACATAGCTCAGGAAACCTACAAAGTAGGATCACTTCGCCAGACCCTCTGTAAGGGTCTAATGTCAATAGAAGAGACAAGAGACTTAAGAAATGCTACAGACTTGTAGTTGCAGTTCATGATGCAAGAAATCCTTAATTACCTGTAAGTGTCTTGTGGGGACAGTTTTAGTTTCATCGTTAGTAGGGGTTATGGTGGTAGGTTTTAATTCCAGTGCCATTTTAATATGCCAACAGAGGTAGAAACAGGTAAAATGGGTTCAGCCACCTGTCTTCTAACCCACCTGATTTTCCTCTTCCTCTGCATTTCCAGCAGAATTCTAGTATAACCTAAAAGCTAGTATTGGCAATATTGATGGTCTAGCAATTAAGGATTACGGAGCATTCCTTTGTCTACTGTTGCAGACGATTTAATAACCTATTTAAAATGGGAGAGAATGAAATGTCGTTGTAAAGCATTTGGTTTTCATCCATGAATACCACCAGCTTTCATTCCAGGCTTAAATATTTTGGGGGAATCTTTGGGCTTAATTTTCCTGCTGAACCAGACCCTGACTTTGGGATACACTGGGAGTCCCAAGACCCTTTCCCCTCGCCAGCAGTTTATGGAAGCAGCATCCTATCCACCTCATCGTTGCTGTCCTGGACTTTCAAATCTCCTGGTCAGTCAGAGGGCGGCAGCTATGTATTCTCCCAGTGCCCATGGGGCAGGTGGACACTGTTGAAGCAGGGCAAGACCACAAAGATTCTTCAATATGGAAGTACTTTTGCCATTTTACACAGTTGTGCAGAAATAGACACATTCTAGGTGGACAGGGAAGACCTCAGCTAGATCCGGACACCCAAGATTGTAGCCTTTCATGCTACCTGCACCATCAAGAAAGTAAGATGTCTTTCAAAGGATCTCCCATCACTCACAGCATCCCATCTCTCTCCCTGCCCCTTTTTCTTATTCTCCTCTCACTGTCCCATTTATTTACGAGAAATTAGACTTATGATTAAATCTCATTCCAAATTCCGATCAAAATTTATTCTTTATTCGTTCACGGGATGAGGGCATCGCTGGCTCGGCAGCATTTATTGCCCATCCTTAATTGTCCAGAGGGCAGTTAAGAGTCAACCACATTGCTGCGCGTCTGGAGTCATGTGTAGGCCAGACCAGGTAAGGATGGCAGTTTCCTTCCCTAAAGGACATTTGTGAACCAAATGGGTTTTTCCCTACAATTGACAATGGATTCACAGTCATCATTAGATTCTCAATTCCGGATATTTATTGAATTCAAATTCTGCCATCTGCCATGGCAGGCTTCAAACCCGGGTCTCCGGAGCGCTATCTGAACACTAACAGTCCAGCAATAATACCACTAGGCCATCGCCTCCCCCGTTTGCAAGATATAAATATTTTAGAATATTTCAGGCAAGAAACAGAAGCAAGGGGCTGCTTGAAAATCATGGTGAACAGTTTTGATGTTTGAACCCCACCAACAAGGCCAGCTCCTTTGAGTTGCAAACTCAGCATGTAGTATAGTGAAGGCATTCATCAGCATAATTGGCTTCACATCTCCACAGTTGCCCAGCTACACCAGGGAATGTATCAAGCACCATCCCGACACTGTACTCACTGTTTTCCTGATTTCCCAGCCTCCAAGCTCACCAACCCAGGACAGGGAAAATTCAGCCGGGAAATGCACAAATGTGCAGTATTATTATCAGCATCCACCTGTATTTTCATACTATTATACTCAGCATTCATCTGTATGACTATACACCCACAGATAACCAAGAAATATTTCGAAATGGTACCTTTTATCTGGAGAAAAATGGAAATGCATCAGTAACGGCTTCATTTGGCAGTGGAATCTCATTAACAGTGACAGCACAATTTGAGATGTTACTTGCAATCACCAATTTGCCAGAAAAGTTTATGAACACGACAAGAGGCCTTCTTGGTAAGTCAGCTTTATAACATAGAACAGTACAAGTCCCTCAGCCCATGATGTTGTGCCAACCTATTATCCTACTCTAAGATCAAAACTAACCTGCATACCCTTCATTTTACTATCATCCATGTGCCTATCCAAGAGTCGCTTAAATGTTCCTAATATATCTGACTCTACTACCACCACTGGCAGTGCATTCTATGTACCCACCACACTCTGTGTACAGAACCTACCTCTAACATCTCCCCTATACCTTCCTCCAATGACCTTAAAATTATGCCCCCTTGTAAGAGTCATTTCTACCCTGGGAAAAAGTCTCTGGCTATCCACTCTATCTATGCCTCTCATCATCTTGTACACGTCTATCAAGTCACCTCTCATCCTTCTTCACTCCAATGAGAAAAGCCCTACATCCCCCAAACTTTCCTCATAAAACCTGCCCTCCAGTCCAGGCAGCATCCTGGTAAATCTCCTCTGCACTCTCTCTAACGCTTCCACATCCTTTCTATAATGAGGTGACCAGAACTGAACACAATATTCCAAGTGTTGTCTAACCAGTGTTTTATAGAGCTGCAGCATAACCTTATAGAGATGTTTGGGAGTTTGTAAAATATATTTCACTTGTAGAAACTCAATCCCCCTGCCAATGAAAGCCAACACACTATACGCCTTCTTAACAACCCTACTAACTTGGGTGGCAACTTTGAGGGATCTATGGACATAGACCCCAAGATCCCGCTGTTCATCCACACTGCCAAGAATCGTGCCATTAACCCTGTATTCTGCATTCAAGTTTGACCTTCCAAAATGAATCACTTCACACTTTTCCGTGTTGAATTCCATCTGCCACTCCTTTGCCCAGCTCTGCATCCTGTTAATGGCCCATTGCAACCTACAATAGCCCCCCACACAGTCCACAACTCCACCAACCTTCATGTCATCGGCAAACTTACTAACCCACCCTTCCACTTCCTCATCCAAGTCATTCATAAAAATCACAAAGAGCAGAGGTCCCAGAACAGATCCCTGTGGAACACCGCTGGTCACCGAGCTCCAGGCTGAATACTTTCCATCTACTACCAGCACCTATCTTCTACTGGACAGCCAATTCTATATCCAAACAGCCAAGTTTTGCTGAATCCCATGCCTCCTTACTTTCTGCATGAGCCTACCATGTGGAACCTTATCAAATACCTTGCTAAAATCCATATACACCACATCCACTGCTCTACCTTCATCATTGTGTTTTGTCAAATCCTCAAAGAATTCAATAAAGCTTGTGAGGCATGACCTGCCCCTCACAAAGCCATGCTGCCTATTTCTAATCAAACTATACTTTTCCAAATAATCACAAATACTATCTCTCAGAATCCTCTCCAATAATTTGCCTATCACAGAAGTAAGACTGACTGGTCTGTAATTCCCAGGATTATCCCTATTCCCTTTCTTGAACAAGGTCCCTCTCACTGGTGAATACTGAAGCAAAGTATTCATTAAGGACCTTCCCTACCTCCTCCAACTCCAGGCACAAGTTCCCTCCACTAACCCTGATCGGCCCTACCCATCCTCTGGCCATCCTCTTGTTCCTCACATAAGTATAGAACGCCTTGGGGTTTTTCTTAATCCCACCCGCAAAGGCTTTTTCATGCCCCCTTCTAGCTCTCCTAAGTCCATTCTTCCTGGCTACCTTGTAACCCTCTAGAGTCCTGTCCAATCCTTGCTTTCTCAGACTTATGTAAGCTGCCTTCTTCCTCTTGACTAGATGTTCCACATGTCTTGTCATCCAAGGTTCCTTCACCTTACCATCCTTTCCTTGTCTCAGTGGGACAAACCTATCCAGTACTTGTAGCAAGCGCTCCTTAAACAACCTCCACATTTCTGCCATGCATTTCCCTGAGAACATCTGTTCCCAATTTATGCTCTGCAGTTCCTGCCTAATAACATTGTAATTCCCCCTCCCCCAATTAAATACTTTCCCATACCGTCTGCTCCTATCCCTCTCCTTGACAATAGTAAAGGTCAGGGAGTTGTGATCACTATCACTGAAATGGTCTCCCACCGAGAGATCTGAGACCTGGCCCGGTTTGTTGCCAAGCACCAAATCCAACATGGCCACCCCTCTAGTCAGCTTTGTCTAATGACAAATGTGGTTTCTTGTCACTATTACTTAATCCTGGAGCATATACTTTTGATGGACGGAAATGCAAAAAGTATAATTTATCCGTTACATTGTCACTCTTTTTTCCAGTTCCCCAACTTTATTTTTAGTTTGATTCAACTAAAGAAAGCAGAAGTGTTGAGTAACATTATATATATTTCCTCCATTACTAAGATCCTGAAAACTATCCAAGACTCAATTCAAATATTAACAGATAAACAGTTTAGTAGACAATCCCTCCAAGCTTCTGATGCTGCTTTATGGTTTTAAATCTCACTTTCCTTCTAACTTGCTTTACCTACCTGTTATTACCCAGAGATTTTTATTGCCATACATAGAAACATAAATAGAGTTAGCAATTTAATTTAATAGACAGTTGTGTGAAAACTTTGTAATGTAAAAAGAATCATTTCAGGTTGTAATTGTGAATTCTATGCAGTCTCTCAAAGCAATTTCTGACCTTTTTCAAGATTTTCATGACACAATTCGATAAAGTCCAAAACTTTTTTACTTGTTTCCTTCTAGGTGTATGGAATGGCAATCCAAATGATGATTTTACAATGCCAAATGGATCTGTTATTCCAAAAAATAGCAACGAATCTACAATCTTCAATTATGGAATGACTTGTGAGTTAAATAAAGATTCTGAATTAACAGCCCAGCTGGTAAAAACCGAAAGAACTGCGGATACTGTAAATCAAGAACAAAAACAAATTTGCTGGAAAAGCTCAGCAGGTCTGGCAGCATCTGTGAAGGAAAAAACTGAGTTAATGGTTCGGGTCTGTTCCAGAAGGGTCTAGGCCCAAAACATCAGCCTTTCTGCTGCTATGATGCTGCTTAGCCTGCTGTGTTCATCCAGCTCTGCACCTTGTTGTCCCATGTTTTCTGTTGAACTTGGTCTGTTCAGAACTTCAATTGACATGCGTATGCTGCTCATTGTGGATTAAGGCTGTTGAGTACTACTGAAAAAAAGACATATTTTATGGATCTTTTCAACCCTGCCCTTATCAGGGCAATTCTTCACACTACAAGCCCAATTGTCAAGCACGTGAAGGATTACACTGACAACAAATTGTAAATGATTAGTCAAGTTCACATTGTGGGATGTTTACTTGTGCTGGAAGCTATATATTTTAATATAGCAGGCCCTGTTCTTTGTAAACAGAATGAATATGTTTACATCTTGTGCCATTTCTAATTCCATGAAATAGATGACATAAATTATATAATTCATTTCTAAGGGCATGCTCTGAATAATTGGGATCAATTGTTTGTTTTAATTTTAAACAAAGATCGGCAGTTAGCCATTAACTGTCACAATTGCTACATTCTCCATAGCAATGCCATTATCAATTACTTTATTTGCCAACCAAGTAGCACTTTCCTATTATATGGTATAAATGTGGTTTTCCCTTTTAGAGTGTTTTTTGCAAATTGTCCTGATGAAGACAAGATGAAAAACGTGGACAAAATGTGCCATTTTTCAGCTGTACTCATGTTCTGTACGATCAAATAACTAAGATATTATGAAATGCAGTTCATAATTAATGAATGAATTAAAAATAATTTATGTCATAAAGCATGGTCACGAGAATACTTATGATGGAAGGATTTTGATAGAACATAGTGTGGGATAAGAGAAGGTTCTGATGATGCAGCAGTGATAGTTAAACTCAAATAGTTCTTAAATTGCCAAACTCTGAGACTAAATTTGCTGCCTAAAATCTTCCTCTCTCGACAGTACATCATTATATCATTAACTGAAGCAACAAAATTACAATACCTCATTTATTATCAGGTCATGGCATAATTTAATGTTGGACCTCCAGGGAAAAAAGACACATACACACACACACACACACACTCCTCCTCCTCCTCCTCCTCCTCCTCCTCCTCCTCCACAGAAGTTGCTACTCTCTATATATTCCATTCAAGATGATAAACAGTGTCATATTTGTCTGTTATTTAGTCTGGGATGGCATTATCATTCATAAATAGGCTTATTATTGCTATATAATCACAGGATATAGTGATTATTTTGTAACAATGAGTTTGATTCCTCTAATGTACTCAGTTTATTAAACAGGTAAGTAACTGTCTTGTACTGACCAGAAAATGGATATTCAATCACCCGTGGGTGCCAAATAGCCGGTCCTAATTGGGACAGTGGTAGGGTCACTCTGATTAAACTTGCTAATGCTACAGCCTGGCTGTGTGGTTTGGGAGAAATTAGTTAGGGTTACTATGTCAGTTATTTATCCAATAACACATGATGATCCCCTATAAATGATATTCTTATCTGAGTGGTAGTTCATTACAGTATTCAGATAGTGACACATCATAATTGTTATGAGAAAAATAATATTTTGGAGCTTATGGAGATGCTTGGGAGTTTGTAAAATATATTTCACTTGTAGAATGAAGTGACCCTTACCATGCACTTTCCACAAATTCTGGAGTATGAACACCTCATGCTATCCAACATTGAAATATTTAGTAGCATCCATATGATGATTGAATCTTTTATCAGAATTCACAAAACTATCATGATTAGTTGAATAAAAGCAAAATACTGCAATGCTGGAGATCTGTGATAAAAACCTACTTTGCGAAAGAAACTCAGCAGGTCTGGCAGCATTTGTGGAGAAATAATAGGAGTTAATGTTTCAAATCTATTATGGATCTTTTGCAGTTTTGAAGAAGAGTCACTGACAATGTAACACCTTTTGCATAAAAAGGGAAGGAGACAAGAAACAGGAAATAATGGGCTAATTTGTTTAATGTCTGTATTGGCAAAATGTTACTGTCGATTATAAAGAATGGAATTGCAGAACATTTAGGAATACTTAATACGATCAAGCAGAGTCAGCAAAGCTTTATGAAAGGGAAATCATGCCTGACAAATTTATTCAAATTCTTTGAAGAGGTAACAAGCAGGGTAGATAAAGGGGATGCATTACATGTGTTTGGATTTTCTGAAGGCATTTGATAAGGCAGCACTCATCAGGCTACTTATTAAGTTAAGAGACCACAATGTTGGAGATGGTATATCAGTTTGGATAGATGATTAGTTGACCAATAGAAGACAGAGTTGAATAAGGGAGGGGACATTTTCAGGAAGCCAACTTGTAACTAGTGGTTCATCACAGGGATTAGTGCTAGGGCCACAATTATTTACTATATGTTGTATATAGACATAGATATACACTTTATAGGTGTAGCTATATATTAATGACTTGGATAAGGCAAGTGAATGTACTATAATCAAGTTTATGGATGATAAAAATAGGTGCGAAGGCAAGTGGTAATGATGATATACAGGATCTGCAGAGGTCATATACAGGTTAATTAAATGGGCATATACTTGGCAAATGTAATATAATGTTGGAAACATGAAATTATACACTTTTGCAGGAAGAATAGAGGAGTTGAATAGTATCTAAGTGGAGATATATTGCAGAAAGCTATGAAACAGAGAGATTTGGGAGTCCTCATTTGTGAATTGCAAAGGAATAGCATCCAAGTTCAGGGGCTAATGGGGAAGGCAAATGGAATGTTGGCCTTTATTTCAAAGAGAAAGACGTATAAAAGTCGAGAGGTTTCACTAGAATTATACAAGACTACAACTGGAATATTGATTACAGTTTTAGGTCCATCCACGGAAATATCCACTGGAATTATAGGCAGTCCAGAGAAGGTTCACTGGGCTGTTACTAAGTATGCAGGGACTGTCTTATGAGGAGAGGTTGAGTAGGTTGGGAACAAGTCAGAAAATTAGAGTTGAGAATTATCAGATCAGACATGATCTCATTCAATGGCAGAGCAGACTTGATGGGTTGAATGGCCGCCTTCAGCTCCTACATCTTTTGGTCTTATGGTTTAATGATAGTAATCTGTGGTGCAAGTTCAAAAGAGCAAAGGTCTTAAAGGAAAACAATGCAGCAGCAACAATCTTAGCTTGTAAACATGTGTAGTAGTATGTGACTTGAAAGTTATGAAGGTAGAAAGGTAAGGTTCGCAAACATGATATGACTTGGGTTGTGTAGCTCAGTTGGCTGGATGGCTGGTTTCTGATGCAGAGTGATACCATCAGATGGGTTCACTTTCCACACTTGCTGAAATTGCCAAAAAGCTCTTTCCTTCTCAACCTTGCCTCAAGTATTGTGACCCTCGCGTTAAACTCATCACCCATCATTTCTGTCTATGTTGTCAGAGGACTATGGTGAATTTACCTTCTACCTTTAATGTTAAACAAATAGAATTCTTGAGTCATGTTGAATATTTGAATGGAGAAAAGAGACACAGTGCTTTTCATTAGTTTGTATGTCCGATATGCAATATCCATCAAACTGATTGATTGTTTATCTTGGTCAACAGGGGAAGTGCCCCGGGAGAGTTCCATTTTCACAATTGGAAGAAGTGTTCCAAACAATTCATTTACACCTCGCTTTCTGGAAGATCTCCAGCAACAGAATGAGACCTTGTATAATTTGTTGGCCACTGAGTGTAAAAATAACACTCAGTGCATTTTTGATGCAATAAGTACAGGAAAGAAAGAGATCGGATTGGCAACAGCAAAGGGAAACACGGAATTTACAGAAGTCAATGCAATGCTGAGTAAGCAGTTGTGATTTTCCAAAATTAAAGAACCATTGTTTGTTATTTATTTGTTTGAGGTAGATAAAGAAAATCTCTCTATTTACATTTGCTTGTAACTATCCTGAGCAAGCCTTGTATATCTTGAAAGCAGCTACTTGGCCTGAAAATGTTTGAGTTATACTTAACTGATATCGTTGGTGTTGTGCTCATAAGCATTTCATGTATGGATATTAATTTATTTCATTTTTTCACCCCATGTTAGATTCATATCCACCAACCATTACAGGACCAGAAGTTATTTATGCACAACTGTTTCAGCAAAATATTTCTTACTATCAAGCAATAGACCAAGAGGGAAATAATGCTGTATTCATTCCTTACATATCCCAGGAATTGAATGTAACAGGTAATGTTTTGCCCTGGATGATGTTCATTTCAAAACATTGTGGCTTATAGGAGCAATCTAATGTTCATTTTCAAGCCTAGCTTAGAATATACCTTATGTTCAGCATCTCTAGATCAATTGAGCCTGAGCCATTTTAATCACCAGTTACCAGTAAAGATGAACAAAAACAAAGTTGCTGGAAAAGCTCAGCAGTTCTGAGGAAGGGTCACCGGACCCGAAACGTTAACTCTGTTTTCTCCTCCACAGATGCTGCCAGACCTGCTGAGCTTTTCCAGCAACTTTGTTTTTGTTCCTGATTTACAGCATCCGCAGTTCTTTTGATTTTTACCAGTAAAGATGAGTTGATTGTACAGAACTTCTAATGGTTTGACATTACATTGTTTGCAGAGAATATAGTAACAGCACAGTTCAAACATCCACACTGATGCAGGAGGAACTGCTCCTCTTCAACAATTAACATCCTTTTAAGAATTCTTTGCAAGTGTTGGTACACCATCATGAGCTAAAACTTGGCCCAAACAGTGTACACTTAATAAGTCTATTGTAGATAATAAACTTGAGGGTAAAACTGGCATGGTTAAAAATACAGTATTCTGCTTTGAATAGTAAAAGTTTAGCATGAGGCAAACTTCACTGTTAAAAGGAAAACAAAATTATAAAAGGTGAGATTTTATTACTTTCAGATTCTACAAATGACTTTATTGAATATGTTAAGGCATGTTTTAGGATTATTTCAGGACAATAATTAATGAAATTTAAAAGTCAATTTAGCCTTTCTTGAGATTTCCTCATTCATTCAAATTGTTATTGCTATATAAAGCAACTTTCAGTATGGTTTTAGTCATGTAGTTACTTGTTTGAATTTAGAAAATGTGAGTAGCAGGCAGGGTTAATTTAATTTATCAGTTATACAATACCTTTTGACTTATTTTGTTTTAAAACTCCACAGAAAATGGAACTTTGATCTGGCATCCAAAGACCACAAATGGAATATCGTTTGAAATTGAAGCAATTGGGTACAATAATCTGTCCTCAGTTCTTAGGCCCCAGTTGGTGTTATGCAACTGCAGTGTGAATGGAGAATGCATTAACAATGAAATTACTCAAATCAATGGCTCCTCTGTTTATGTGAGTGTTTAAATGAAAAAAAATTGATTTAATTATGATTGACCTATCAACAATTTTAATACCATCAAGCTAACTTACAATACTAATGGTAGAAAATGAAATGTAATTAAACTGATTAACCACAAATATGTACAGGTGAGTCCTGGAGCAGCTCATTCACCTCAATATTAGAAAAAAAGCAAATATATTAGGCAAATATATTGCTTCCCTTTCTTTTTCATGTAGCTTAAATCTATCTTACTATATCCTTCAATCTCTATCTAGTTAATCTGGGACTGAAATTGCACCATCAGTGAGAAATTGGCTTGGACCAAATCAGCATCCTGTTATAGCCTGCTAGCTTTTATATTCCTAACACGTGAAATGTATTGCAAAGATTAGTAATTTCAAACCGCTTGAACAAAGCTGGCTCACTTATTCAGTGTTGGAGCTATAAGCATTAAGTGGAAAGTATTCCACCAAACAATTGATTTATGCCTTGTAGACTATAGAAAGAGTTGGAGGAGTCAGCAGATGAATTACTGCTGTAGAATACCAAACTATAATCTGCTGCTTTAGCCACAGAAATTATGTGGTTGATCCACTTAAGTTGCTGGTCAAGATTGACTTGGTGGTGAGTTTAGCAATAGTAAAGCCATTGAATGTCAAGAGGAGATATTGAGGCTTTCTCTTGTTGACGGTGACTATTGCTTTGTACTTGTATGGTGTGAATGTATTTGCTACTGCCCAGAATGTTTCTGCATGTGTGCATGGGCTGCTTTGTTGGACTGCACTTAACCCCTCTCCCACCCCATCCCACCCACTGCTTATTTAAAGATGGTTTGTGAAATGTAGCCCATGGACATTCCAGTGCTGTCTCGCCTGCCACCGACTCATCTCCCATTGGGTGAGAGAGGCATTAGGCACTTTGCCTGTACCTGTGACCATGAGGATGGAGGAGTGGAAGCAATCACTGGTTTCCAAAGGAGATTAGGTGGGCACTTGGAGGAAATTAGCCTGCAGGTCCAGAGGAATCAAGGGAAAATGTGGGAATAATTGGATTGCTCTGAGGAGAGTCAGTATGTGTTCCGTGGACTAGATGTTATGGCCCTCAAGTGGTCCTGCAGGTGTATTTCATCTAAGTGCCATCCAATTTCTTTTTGAAGCCAGTAAATGATCCTCGATTGGGTCCAGAGAGACATGGAATTCCTGACTCTGAGAATCCAATCTTTAAAAGCAGCCCAAAGAGGGAATAGTCAGACTGGATGGGAAGGTATGGTCAGCAGCCTGGGAAGACCACAGGAGGATGTCAAGTGTGAATGCAGGATAGGCAGCCAAGCTGCATAAAGATACTGGCACTGTATCCAAATTTTATAGAATGAAAATTAATACATAAAACATTCCTTATCCGTCACCACCCTGCACTCTCCATGCTCCAACTATGACAGTGCATGACTCCTAATGTTCTGTGACCACCCCAATAACCGTCCCTACCAGCTGTACCATTCTCTTCCCCTCTATCCACCCCCGACCCCCACAACATCCACACGCATGCTCCTATACAATATCTCCAGAGCTCCCACCCCCATATTAACCCATGTCCCATATCCACGTTGGCTCTTTACAGACTCTATGCCAATCCATGATCCCACCCACCACCCTTTATCCTTTTACCTTGTATTTAAGGTATTTAGTTCTATTTAATAAAGTAAGTGTATTACAGACTTTACTATGTTGATAAAAAATATCATTCACAAAATAAAATACCAAATTTAAATTCATTTACTCAAAAAACCATGAAAACAAATACTTCTTTGCAATTGCAACAAGAATTAGAATTCATACCGCCACATCAACTGTCCAAAACTATGTGTAGCTGTTAGCCAAACTGTGAAATGGAAGACATTGATAATGGTACTTTGTGAAATAAGGTAGGCAGCACTAATTCAACATTGGAAATCCTTAGGTTTATTAACAGGCAGTGTGATATAGAATACAACCTCTTTTTGAGCAATCCAGACATTTTTCAATTATTAAAAAGCTGTTATTTTCCTTTAAAAGTCTTGACACATCCACTTGACAACTTTGACGGTTCTTTGAGAACTCTGATTGTACTTGGACGTTATAAATTCCATTGAGTTTCTGTACGTCTTTCACACAAGCCTAACTACTTTTGACAATTCCAAAGGACACCTAACCTCTCTAAAAAGGGAACTGACCTCTGCAAAAGAGTGCTTTATCTTCCTTAAAGATATCCAAGCATCAGCTCCAAAGGAGTATGCTATGTTTACAAAAGGCCATCCAAATGAAACCACAAGGTTCAGACATGTTCATACATGGTTTAACCTGCTCATTTCAGACACCTACCTCACTTATATCAGACAGGAATAGAGGCAGCTGATGATATTTCTGACCAGCTGCCTTGTATGGCGAATCCTGAACCAACTCCTTTTAATCTCCTCTGAAAATGTGGAGTGCTGTGTTCAGGGGCAGGACCTATAATTTCTGGTCACTTTCACCATTTTTGGCATAATGGACATAACTCTACTCTGCTGAAAGTCTAGTCCCGGGACTCTAAGGATTAAGTATCAAGGACAGAGTAAACAAATAAGGATTGTATTCTCTGGAATTCTCTGAAAATGGCATTTTGATATTAGGATATTAAGTGAAAAGATAATTTAAATTTAGAGAAACTAATTCAACTGGGACAAAAGGGAATATTCAGAATATTAGAGCCACACTATTACGGTTGAAATTAGGCAATATTTATTCATAAAAATTATGATATAATTTAGATCTGCCTTCGACAAACGGTCAGTCATGCTCAATTAATTGTTAGTTTTAAAACTGAGAAGACATTTATCAACCAAAGATATTAAGAGATGTGGACACACGTGGATATATGGAGCTATGCTGCAGATCATCCACAATCTCACTGAATGATGATAAAACAGGCTAAAGGATTAAGTTGCTTACTTCTGTTTCTTTGTTCCTGTACTATTTCTGTTCTGAATTACTCCATTTAGTATGTTAACCCAACATAATGGAAGATGGAAATTATTCTCTGCAATGACAAGGTGATTACTGCTACCAGTATAATCATGGACATACACATCTATAAAAATGTTCATGATATAGTAAAGTTGGATTTTCTTTCTAGTTAGTTCCTGAGTTTCATCCCTTTTAGTAGTTCTGTACTTTGGAAATTGGCCAGTTCAATCAGCAGTGATGCTACTGAATAACTCTTGATAGTGGGCATTCAAACTGCCCGCCCAGAGTATATTCTGTGGCTTTTCTACTCCTAGTGCCTCTTTCGAGTGACATTCAAAATGGAGGACTACTGTCACCAACAGAGGGAGAATGGTAAGTGGTACTCCATGGAGGTTTCCTTGTCCATGTTTGATCCGATGCTATCAGTCTTCATGAGGGCCAGAGTCAAGATTGTGGACTGAAAGCTCTACTCCTTCTCATCTCCATATTGTTATGTTGCCATCACTGGTGGGTTTTCCTGCTTCTCAAACCAGCCACCCCCATGGATATATTGCCAGAGTCTGGAACATTGATTTAAAGGTATGTTTCTGGAAGTATGGCTATGTCAAATTGGTGCTTGATTCATCCATCAAACAACTCACTCAATCTCAGCATAAGTCCCCCAGAGGTTAGTGACCCCTAATTCTGTTTAGGGTTGACTGGGCTAGTTGGACTTCTGTCTGTCAGGTGCTGAGATCAATGCCAAGTGATTGATCTAGTTTTTTTGTAATTTTTTTTGTAGTGGTTTTATAGACCCTTTCAGAGGCCGTTAAAAGTGATCTAGTACTATGGGTCTTGAATGACATGTTGGTCAGATCCAATCAGGACACATCAGCAGGGTCCCTTTTTATTAGAAACTCGGTGCCTGATCCAGCAGTTGCTGCACACCACCATAAATCTATAATTCATGGATTACTGTGAAGAAAAGTAGCTAAATGCAGTCATCATTTCTAGCATCCATTCTTTTGCTTCTCCTTTCTGGGAGCCAGCCTTGTCCCATCTTGGTATATTTTTCCAAATGATACAGTTTTGACAAGAGAATCAGTGTGCATTGAATCTGATCACTGAATCAGCATAAATTTTCATTTAGTTTAATTTAGAAATGCTTAACCCTCCATTTCCTTATGAAGAATATTCATCACCAACCAAAAATGTTGTGCATTGCTTTTCTACAGAAAGCTGCTTGTAACTGTACAGCTGGATTTACTGGTACCAACTGTCAAGATAAAATCGAGATATGCCAGGTGGTCAGCTGTTTCCCAGGGGTAGACTGTTCCTCTTCTGGTTGTGGCTCCTGTCCCAGAGGATTGGCAGGAAATGGCATACGTTGCATTGGTAACACACTTTTAAAGGTCATATTTCACAAAAGTTATGCAAAATGTGTCTGTATTACTCAGATAACTTTGTGCATATTTCCTAACAGATATAGATGAGTGTAACAGCAATAATTCCTGTTCTCCAAATGCAACATGCACGAATATAGTGCAGAGTTATAATTGTACCTGCAACTCAGGATTTTCAGGTATGTGAAACCAAATAATAATAGTGTAGTGACATAATCATGTTTTTATACAATTATCTCGATTCTTTAAACAAAACATAGCAAATTCATTGAGTTTTTAGTTTCACTATTTTGAAAGTCACAAATTTCTTCGTGAAATATGAAGAAAATACATTAAATCATTTGTGTAGGTGTTTTTCTTTCCATGAAAGAAATTGCTGCTCGAAGTCAAAGTCAAATTTTCCTCCAAGTATTTCCAATTAATTGATTGCATGCCTCCACTTAAAAGTTTGCTTTGTCCAGGTAAATAAATGATTTTCAAATCTATCCCTCCAGCATTTCATTAGAAGTAAGATAACTCAAGGAAAAAGCTCATTCTTAAAGACATCCATCCAAGTTTCTTTACTTATAATGTATCCAAATGCAAAATTTAAATTTTATAGATGACAAAACATTTTCAAAATGACAGCAAGAACAATGGCAAAATTAAATTTATCATGGAACACAGACCTGAACTAGTCTCTATCATTCTTCACATAACAAACTAATTAATAATTAGCTCAGTGACACAATAGAGGGGAACCTAATGCATTACCCCAAATCAGGCTTGCTCGGGAGGTGCCACTTGATAATGTGGGAGAGTGTCTGTACTGACACAGACTCACCTCTGTCAGTATTACACACAGATGTGAGCCCACTTATGGACTCAAACACACCGACTCAGATTCAGATCTTTCAGCGGGCAACTAATCTAGAAGCAAACAAGCCTGTTGCCATTTCAGAAGCTCAAATAAAAAATCTTACAGCTTACTTTTGGCTTCCAGTGAGGATGGAATAGATTAATTTTCGTAAGCCACTCGGTGCCTTATCGAGGGACCCAGCATTGGGAAGAAGGAGAAGCCTGTGGAGAAGCCATCTTCGTGCAATCACACTTGAACCCAAACTACCCTTTTAAACATTTGCCTGCCACCTTAACACCTAACCTAAGTGGCAGCCTAACTCCCTTACACCATACCTCTCACCCATTGGCACCCAATCCCAACGGCATGGCATGGGCGGCATGGTGGCTCAGTGGTTAGCATTGCTGCCTCACAGCACCAGGGACCCAGGTTTGATTCCACCCTGAGGCAACTGTCTGTGTGGAGTTTGCACGTACTCCCCATGTCTGCATGGGTTTCCTCTGGGAGCTCCGGTTTCCTCCCACAGTCGAAAGATGTGCAGGCTAGGTGGTTTGGCCATGCTAAATTAACCCGTAGTGAAAAGGGGGATGGGTCTGGGTGGGATCCTCTGAGGGTCGGTGTGGATGTGTTTAGCCGAAGGGCCTGTTTCCACTTTGTAGGGATTCTATGATCAATCCATCTAACATTGTATTCTGTCATCACCACATCTGCCATTCATACCTCTCCACACATTCACCAGATACCATGCCCTCTCACCAACTTGGCACCTACCCCCTCACCCATTCACCTTACACAGTTACCTTCTCTGAGTAGCATTTCAAAGCAGCTTTAGGAGCTTTAAACTGGGCTTACTTACCAGAACATGGTTGCTCATGTCATAAAACAGGGAATGTGGATTCAGCAAAGGTTCAGAGTTCTGATGCAGCCTATCTGTTCAATCTCGGGTTTCGGCATAATGAGTGCTCTCTGATCAGGTCAGCCTTTGTTTAGGGTGGCACGGTGGCTCAGTGGTTAGCATTGCTGCCTCACAGCACCAGAGAACTGGGTTCTATTCCACCCTCGGGTGACTGTCCGTGTGGAGTTTACACATTCTCCTCATGTCTGCGTGGGTTTCCTCTGGGTCCTCCGGTTTTCTCCAACAGTCCAAAGATATGTAGGCTAGGTGGATTGGCCATGCTAAATTGCCCGTAGTGTTCAGGGATGTATAGAATAGGTGGGGTATGGGGGATGGGTCTGAATGGGATGCTCCGAGGGTCGGTGTGGATTTGTTGGGCCGAAGGACCTGTTTCCATACTGTAGGGATTCAATGATTTCAATGGGTTACTGCCCGTGTGTCTGCTGGGATGCAGTGGAAATCAAATCTGAAAATTGAAAAGAAAATAAGGTCATAGCATCCTGTTTGATCTGGGTTGGAAATAGGGATACCAGTCCTGACCAGAGGATTTGGGCCATTGTTTCTCTGAAACTGACAGCAACCTCTGGACTCCACGTAAGCACTGTTGATCGTGGAATAACAGATGTTGCTGTCAGTAATTCCATGCTTCTGCCTCAGGTTCACTACTGAAGTACACCCAGAATGAAACCAAATCAAAACCATTGGTATTTGTCTTTTTACACTATTCGTCCAATTGTGAAAACTTTGAAAGATGTATATTTTGATGAATGATATGGAAATAGTTTCAAATTTATAGTTGCTGCTGATATACATTACCAGTAACAAAGCCTCTATCATTTTTTTTGGCATGGGTAGCGGGGGAGAATAGGAAGAATAATTTTGTTGTGTGCGTGATCTCTAACAATTTTTTTTCCCATACTCAGACCATGTCTGAGAAGGCCAGACTTGCACATTGCTTGCACGTGAGCCATTGCGTTTATGCAGAGTCTCAACTGTTCAACTTAGAGGAACATTCATTTTCCTAATACAATATTTACATTTCAAATTTTATAAATTATTTTCAAAATACCATCGTTAGCAAAACCAGAATTGAATTTACCGACAGAACACAGACCTAAACTAGTCTTGATTGTACACTACATAACAAACTAATTAATAATTATTTCAATGCCATGTAGGGGAGAAATTAATGCACACCCCCAAATCCAGTTTGATGCAGGGAGATCACTTCATAGTGTGGCAGTGACAATGGATACGACACCATCGATACACCTGTGTCAGAATTACCCTCGGGCCACTTATTAACAACCTCCCCACTCTGATTAAGACCTTTCACTGTGCAGTTAATCCAACTGCAGACATACCTGTCATGATGCCAAGTGCCCAATTAAAACATGCTGAAAGGTTTTTTTGTGGCTTCCACTGAGGATGTATCAGGTCGCTTTTTTGTTGATTCTCAGTGCCTGATCAAGGACCCCAGAATTATGAAGAAGTTGGAGAGACCCCTTCTTGCTAAAACCCTCCTGCATCACACCATCAGCACTCACCACATCTCCAAAGCAGTTCATTCCGAGCTGCCAGGGTCTGACTGACTGTTTGCTCTTGATCACCTCCATGAAATAGCAGACAAATTGATACAAATAGTCACCATGATTTTCCACAATATCTGGAGTGCAACTTTAGAGGAGAGGGTTCTGTCAGTTTCCAGCGTATATAATATTGAGAAAAATTGATTTGATTTATTGTTGTCATATGTACCTAAGTACAGTGAAAAGTTTTGTTTTGTGAGCTATGCAGGCAGATCACAGCAAACAAGGACATATAGATCATAGGGTGCTTAAACAGAGCAAGGCATACAAGGTTACGACTGCGCAAGAGGTGCACAAAAGCAAGGTTGACATTTGATTTGAAATTAGAGAGGCCCATTTAGCAATCTAATGACAGCAAGGAAAAAGCTGTTCTTGAACCTGTCGGTGCACGTGTTCAAGCTTCTGCATCTTCTGCCTGACAGAAGAGGTTGGAAGAGAGTATTACCAGAGTGGAAGGGTTCGTTGATGATGTTGGCAGCCTTTCCATGGGAACAACAAATGTAGATGGAGTTTGTGGATGGAAGTTTAGCTTCCATGATGGCCTGGGCTGTGCACACAACCTTTTGTAGTTTCTTACGGTCCTGGCAAGCCATTATGTACCCAGATAGAATGCCTTCTATCGTGCATCTGTAAAACTTGTTGAGGGTCCTTCTGGACAAGTTGAATTTCCAAAGTCGCCTGAGGTAAGATGAAACAATGTTTCATCAGCGACTGACAAATCCCCCAGTAACATTGGATTCATGGAATTCTTCAAAATTTTACATTATCTCATAGGTTTTCTTTCAATCTAATTCCCAAGAGAATTAGCCAAATGGAACTACTAACATTTATTAACACACCACCTGACAGTTCACAGTGCTCACCCAATGCCGACTGCAAACATTACTTGACTTTCTTCTGCAAATGTCCAACTCAAGTGATGAATATTTAGTTTATCTCCTGTGGTAATGCTGCAGGTAAATCAGGATGACAAGCAGCTTATTAATGACTGAAGAGAAACTCAATGACGGAGACTCTGCAAAAGGAATTCCTTTGGAACTGTCAATATGCATAGTCACTGGTCTTGATCTTCCACTCACTGGCTCCTGGAGACCAGATGCACCTGGACAGAGGTGCACCTGGAGTCCTCACAAGTCTTGACTCACTGACTATTCAGAATTCCAACTGAGATTTAAACTTTCAATGAGCAATTTACCCATCTCCAGAACCGTCTGAATAGATGGCCAATTCTGAGGTAAAGTCAGAGATTTGGAATGATCTGACTCACTTAACTGGTTAGTTAACCAGGAGATGTTACAAGAAGAAGATCTGGTTGAGTTATTATGTACCACAGCCACCACACATCCGTGGCCAGATCGTTCAGACCTGTCAACTTCCAATTGACTGCTTGGTCTTGATGACATCCAATAAAAACCAGCCATATTTAAACTAACATTTGCCATGAATTTTCTGGAACAGGGTCCCGACCCAAAACGTCTGCATTCCTGCTCCTCTGATGCTGCCTGGCCTGCTGTGCTCCTCCAGCTCCACATCTTGTTATCTCAGACTCCAGCATTGGCAGTTCCTGCTATCTCCTCCACAATATCGGCAGTTTACTTATAGTGGAAAAGGTTCTGTCAGTTTATGGTTTACATTGTATTAAGAAAAGTAACAAAATCCAGTTGGAGCAAGTGTCATGAGAGAAGATGAAATATATGTGGAAGGATACAATGACAGAAGGTAAAGTGCATCACAGCACTAAAATTCCAGGGGCTGCAAGAGACTGACAAATCTGCCAGGAATGTTACATTAATGGCATTCTTTAAAATTTTACATTGTCTCATAGGCTTTCTTTCAGAATAATTCCCAGGACAATTAGCCAAATCAGACGATTAGCATGTAACCGAAGAACACACCAACATTAAATTTGTGGATGTATCATCTTCAACTTTTCATCTTCATTGGCTTTGGAAATGATCAGTTATTATTATTTCCAATTATTGTGTTTCATTGAGTTTGCTACATTCTTGAATAAACTACCAATGGTATGATGCTAATTCGGCACAAAGCTGTGTGATGATGTTTAAAGAATATAAGAAATTTTAATGTAAATACATTCCATTTCTAAACTCCAACCTTCTATTACTGCTTCAATTCTAGGCAATGGGACATCCTGTAATGTCATTAATCCGTGTGACAGTTCACCATGTTCACCCAATGCTGACTGCACGAACACAGCAGGACATTTCAGCTGCACATGTAAAGAAAGATTCACAGGTAACATCGTGACCAGTCCAATCTGCTAGACAATGCTCTTTCAAATGGAACATTCAGATTTAATTTAAGCCAGATCTTACACAGAGCCAATCTAAAATGTATTGCAGACACTTGCAGAAGAAAGTCAAGTAATGTCCAACTCAATTGATGAATATTTAGTTTATCTCCTATGGCAATGCTGCAGGTAAATCAGGATGACAAGCAGCTTATTAATGACTGAAGAGACACTCCATGACTGAGACTCTGCAAAAGGAATGCCTTTGGAACTGTCAATATGCACAGTCACTGGTCTTGATTTTCCGATCCCTGGCTGGTTGGAGACCAGATGCACCTAGACAGAGCTGCACCTGCAGTCCTCACAAGTCTCGACTCACTGACTATCCAGAATTCCAACTGAGATTTAAACTTTTAATGAGCAATAGCCCATCTCCAGAACCCTCTGAATAGATGCCCTATTCTGAGGTAAAGTCAGAGATTTGGAATAATCTGGCTCAATTAACTGGTTAGTTAACCAGGAAATGTTACGAGAATAAGATCTGGTCGAATTATTACGTACCACAGCCACTACACATCAATGGCCAGATCGTTCAGAGCTGGCAGTTTCTGATTGACTGCTTGGTCTTGATGACATCCATTAAAAACCAACCAAATTTAAAGTGACAATTCCCATGAATTTCCACAATACGCAGTGTAATTATAGTGGAAAGGGTTCTGTCAGTTTGTGGCTTACATTGTAATAAGTAAAGTAACAAAATCTAGAGGGAGCATGTGTCATGAGAGGAGATGAAATCTATATGAAAGGATACAATAACAAAAGGTAAAGTACATCACTGCACTGAAATTACAGGGGCTAGCAGAGACTGACAAACCCACCAGGAACATTGCATTAATGGCATTCTTTAACATTTTACACTGTCTCATAGGCTTTCTTTCAGAATAATTCCCAGGACAATTAGTGAAATCAGACTATTAGCATGTAACTAAAGAACACATCAACATTAAATTTGTGGATGTATCATCTTCAACTTATCTTTCATCTTCATTGTCTTTGGAAATGATCAATTGTTATTATTTACAATGTTGTACTTCATTGGGTTTGCTACATTCTTGAATAAACTACCAATGGTATGATGCTAATTGTGGACAAAGCTGCGTCATGATGTTTAAAGAACATAAGAAAGTTTAATGTAAACACACTTCCATGTCTAAACTCCAACCTTCTATTACTGCTTCAATTCTAGGCAATGGGACATCCTGTAGTGTCATTAATCCGTGTGACAGTTCACCATGTTCACCCAATGCTGACTGCACTAACACAGCAGGACATTTCAGCTGCACATGTAAAGAAGGATTCACAGGTAACATTGTGACCAGTCCAATCTGCTAGACATTTCTCTTTCAAATGTAACACTCAGATTTATTGAGTGAAGAACAAGCAATCTAAAATGTATTGCAGATATTACGATTTTCTTCTGCAAGTGTCCAACTCAACTGATGAATATTTAGTTTATTTCCTCTGGCAACGCTTCAGGTAAATCAGGATGACAAGCAGTTTACTAATGACTGAAGACATACTCGATGAGTGACACTTTGCAAAAGGAATGCATACGCAACTGACAATTTGCATAGTCACTGTTCTCGGTCTTCTGGTCTCTGGCTGGTTGGAGACTAAACGCATCCTAACATGGGTTCACCAGAATCCCTCACAAATCTCGATCCACTGACTACTCAGAATTCCCACAGAATTTTAAACTTCCAATGCGCGAATGCCCTGCCTCCAGAAACCTTGGTACAGATGTCCTGTTCTGAGGTGAAGTCAGAGACTTTGGAGGGATCTGACTCACTTACCTAGATAGTTACCCAGGATATGTTTGAAGAATAAGACCCGATCAAACTATAATGAGACAGTAGTACTGACTTTTGCAAGCACCCAGGTTGGCTAACCTCTTCATTTCACTGACTTGGCTTCCCCTACAACAATCACCCTTAAAACCTCCTTCTCTCCACTGCTCCAACTCAAATTTAACACCATGATCCTTCCCAATTTCTGAACCAATACTGTCCTTTAACCCACTTATCTGCCACCTTGACCCTTAACCTAACAGGCAGCCTAACTCCCTGATAGCCCACTTCTCACCCATTGACAGCCAATCTGTCTACCATCCTATCCTGTCACCCCCATATCAATCATCCTACCTTTTCACCTATCTACCAGATATCTCATGGACCTGGCACCTACGCCCCTCACCCATTTACCTTACACAGTTTCCTTCTATGAACAGCATTCCAAACAGGGTTTTGGCAAGTTAAACTGGGATTACATACCAGAATATGTTGATTGTGTCATAAATAGGGAATGTGGATTACAAAGAACAAAGAACAAAGAAAATTTCAGCACAGGAACAGGCCCTTCGGCCCTCCAAGCCTGTGCCGATCCAGATCCTCTATCTTAACCTGTTGCCTATTTTCCAAGGATCTGCATCCCTCTGCCCCCTGCCCATTCATGTATCTGTCTAGATACATCTTAAATGACGCTATTGTGCCCGTCTCTACCACCTCTGCTGGCAATGCGTTCCAGGCACCCACCACCCTCTGCGTAAAGAACTTTCCACGCATATCTCCCTTAAACTTTTCCCCTCTCACTTTGAAGTCGTGCCCCCTAGTAATTGAGTCCCCCACTCTGGGAAAAAGCTTCTTGCTATCCACCCTGCCTATACCTCTCATGATTTTGTAGACCTCAATCAGGTCCCCCCTCAACCTCCATCTTTCTAATGTAAATAATCCTAATCTACTCAACCTCTCTTCATAGCTAGCCCCCTCCATACCAGGCAACATTCTGGTGAACCTCCTCTGCACCCTCTCCAAAGCATCCACATCCTTTTGGTAATGTGGCGACCAGAACTGTACGCAGTATTCCAAATGTGGTCGAACCAAAGTCCTATACAACTGTAACATGACCTGCCAACTCTTGTACTCAGTACCCCGTCCAATGAATGAAAGCATGCCGTATGCCTTCTTGACCACTCTATCGACCTGCGTTGCCACCTTCAGGGTACAATGGACCTGAACACCCAGATCTCTCTGTGTATCAATTTTCCCCAGGGCTTTTCCATTTACCGTATATTTAGCTCTTGAATTGGATCTTCCAAAATGCATCACCTCGCGTTTGCCTGGATTGAACTCCATCTGCCATTTCTCCGCCCAACTCTCCAATCTATCTATATTCTGCTGCATTCTCCGACAGTCCCCTTCACTATCTGCTACTCCACCTATCTTAGTGTCATCTGCAAACTTGCTAATCAGACCATCTATACCTTCCTCCAGATCATTTATGTACATGATAAACAACAGTGGTCCCAACACGGATCCATGTGCAACACCACTGGTCATAGTTCTCCATTTTGAGAAACTCCCTTCCACTACAACTCTCTGTCTCCTGTTGCCCAGCCAGTTCTCTATTCATCTAGCTAGTACACCCTGGACCCCATGCAACTTCACTTTCTCCATCAGCCTACCATGGGGAACCTTATCAAACGCCTTACTGAAGTCCATGTATATGACATCCACAGCCCTTCCTCATCTATCAACTTTGTCACTTCTGCTAAGATTCAAAGTTCTATGGCTACCTGTGTGGTTTGAAGCTTTGCACCTGTTGGAATCCTTTCACAACATTAATCTCATTGTAAAAAAATGTTTTTGAAAATTTCCATTTTATGAATGAGATGGAACTATTTTGTTAACTGTGTATGAAATTTATAGTTGCTGCTGAACATCCTCAAAACTAACATATCCTGTATCTCTTTGGGAGGAGGTGGGCAATTTCTTTGAATGTATGCACTCTTACAAATTATTTTGCATGGTCATATACATGTTATAACTTAACAGGACATAGTTGTGAATGTGAGATAACAAGGTGTAGAGCTGGATGAACACAGCAGGCCAAGCAGCATCAGAGGAGCAGGAAAGCTGATGTTTTGGGTCGAGACCCTTCTTCAGAAATGGGGGAGGGGAAGGGGATTCTGAAATAAATAGGGAGAGAGGGGGAGGCAGATAGAAGATGGATAAAGGAGAAGATAGGTGGAGAGGAGACAGACAGGTCAAAGAGACGGGGTTGGAGCCAGTAAAGGTGAATGTAGGTGGGGAGTTAGGGAGGGTATAGGTCGGTCCAGGGAGGATGGACAGGTCAAGGAGGCGGGATGAGGTTAGTGTGTAGGAGATGGGGGTGGGGCTTGAGGTGGGAGGAATGGTTAGGGAGGCGGGGATGAGCTGGGCTGGTTTTGGGACGCGGTCGTGGGAGGGGAGATTTTGAAGCTTGTGAAGTCCACATTGATACCCTTGGGCTGCAGGGATCCCAAGCGTAATATGAGAGGCTGTTCCTGCAGCTCTTGGGTGGCAACACTGTGGCAATGCAGGAGGCCCAGAATGGACATGTCATCCAAGGAGTGGGAGGGGGAGGTGAAATGGTTCGCGACTGGGAAGTGTAGTTGTTTGTTGCGAACCGAGCGTAGGTGTTCTGCAAAGCAGTCACCAAGCCTCCGCTTGGTTTCCCCGATGTAGAGGAAGCCACAACGGGAACAGCGGATGCAGTATACCACATTAGCAGATGTGCAGGTGAACATCTGCTTGATGTGGAAAGTCTTCTTGGGACCTGGGATGGGGGTGAGCAGGGAGGTGTAGGGGCAGGTGTAGCACTTCCTGCGGTTGCAAGGAAAAGTGCCGGGGGTGGTGCGGCTGGAGGGGAGTGTGGAGCGGACAAGGGAGTCACGGAGAGAGTTGTCCCTCCGGAAAGCAGATAAAGGTGGAGAGGGAAAAATGCCTTTGGTACTGGGGTCAGATTGCAGATGACGGAAGTGTCGGAGGATGATGCGTTGGATCCGGAGGTTGGTGGAGTGGTACGTGAGGACGAGGGGGATTCTGTTTTGGTTGTTATTGCGGGGAGGGAGTGTGAGGGATGAGTTGCGGGAAATGCAAGAGACACGGTCGAGGGCATTTTCGACCACTGTGGAGGGGAAGTTGCGGTCCTTGAGAAACGAGGACGTCTGGAATGTCCAGGAGTGGAATGCCTCATCTCGGGAGCAGATGCGGCAGAGGCGAAGGAATTGGGAATAGGGGACGGCCTTTTTGCAGGAAGGTGGGTGAGAAGAGGTGTATTCTAGGTAGCTGTGGGTGTCAGTAGGCTTGAAATGGATATCGGTTTCCAGGTGGATGCCAGAGATGGAGACAGAAAGGTCCAGGAAGGAGAGAAAGGTATCAGAGATGGTCCAGGTGAACTTAAGGTTGGGGTGGAAGGTGTTAGTGAAGTGGATGAACTGTTCGAGCTCCTCTTGGAAGCACGAGGCAGCGCCAATACAGTCATCGATATAACAAGAAGAAGAGGTGGGGGATAGGGCCAGTGTAGCTTTGGAAGAGGGTTTGTTCCACGTATCCTACAAAGAGGCAGGCATAGCTTGGGCCCATGCGGGTACCCATGGCCACCCCCTTTGTCTGTAGGAAGTGGGAGGAGTTGAAAGAGAAGTTGTTGAGGGTGAGGACGAGTTCGGCTAAGTGGATGAGGGTGTCAGTGAAGGGGGACTGGTCGGGTCTGCGGGACAGGAAGAAGCGGAGGGCCTTTAGGCCATCTGCATGGGGAATGCAGGTGAATAAGGACTGGACATCCATGGTAAAAATGAGGTGTTGGGGACCAGAGAATTGGAAGTTTTGGAGGAGGTGGAGGGCTTGGTTGGTGTCACGGACGTAGGTAGGGAGTTCCTGGACCAAGGGGAAGAAAATGGAGTTGAGATAGGTGGAGATAAGTTCGGTGGGGCAGGAGCAGGCGGAGACAGTGGGTCAACCAGGGCAGTCAGGTTTGTGGATTTTGGGAAGGAGATAGAAGCGGGCGGTGCGGTGTTGGGGAATGATGAGATTAGAGGCTGTGGGTGGGAGGTCACCTGAAGTAATGAGGTTGTGGATGGTTTGGGAGATGATGGTTTGGTGGTCGGGGGTGCGATCATGATAAAGGGGGTGGTAGGGGTTGTGAATGTCTTGTGTGGGAGCCTTTGGGTTTAAGGCACACTCACAATTTTCCAGCTTACAGGACCATTCATTTTCACAATGCAAAATTTACATTTCAACTTTTATCAAGCATTTTCAAAATGACACAATTAACAATACTGAACTAAATCTATCAATGGAACACAGGCCTGAACTGCACTGTATCACACAAACTAATTAACAATTACTTCAGTGACAGATAAAGGGAATTTAATGCATACCCCCAGAGCAAATTTGGGGTGGGGAGGTCATTTAACTCCGTGGGACCATGACAGTGGACACTGTACCACCTACTAACTCTGTCAGAATCACACTCAGATGCAAGAAGACCAAGGGACTCCTTATTGACAATCCACTCTTTAATTGAGGCCATTAGGTGTACAATTAATCCGGCACCAAACAAGCTTATCCCCATGCCACGTGCCCAAATAGAAAAGGTTTGAAAGTTCACTTTTTGGTTTCCAGTGGGGATGGGTAAGGTTACGTTTTTTATTAGCTCTCAGTTCCTGATCGGGGGACCTAGCATTGGAAAGGAGTCGGCTGTAGAAAATCCCCTTCCTACTAAAACCCTCCTCCATCACACCATCAGCACTCACCACAGCTCCATGGCCAGTCCATTCCGAGCTGCCAGGCCTTGATTGACTGTTTGCTCTTGATCACCTCCATGAAATAGCAGACAAATTGATACAAATAGTCACCATGATTTTCCACAATATCTGGAGTGTAACTTTAGAGGAGAGGGTTCTGTCAGTTTCCATGATATGATATTGAGAAAAATTGATTGATTTATTGTTGTCATGTGTATCCAAGTACAGTGAAAAGTTTTGTTTTGTGAGCTGTGCAGGCAGATCACAGCAAACAAGGACATATAGATCATAGGGTGCTTAGACAGAGCAAGGCATACAAGGTTACGACTGCACAAGAGGTGCACAAAAGCAAGGTTGACATTTGATTTGAAATTAGAGAGGCCCATTTAGCAATCTAATGACAGCAAGGAAAAAGCTGTTCTTGAACCTGTCGGTGCACGTGTTCAAGCTTCTGCATCTTCTGCCTGACAGAAGAGGTTGGAAGAGAGTATTACCAGAGTAGAAGGGTTCGTTGATGATGTTGGCAGCCTTTCCATGGGAACAACAAATGTAGATGGAGTTTGTGGATGGAAGTTTAGCTTCTGTGATGGCCTGGGCTGTGCACTCAACCTTTTGTAGTTTCTTACGGTCCTGGCAAGCCATTATGTATCCAGACAGAATGCTTTCTATCAAGCATCTGTAAAACTTGTTGAGGGTCCTTCTGGACAAGTTGAATTTCCAAAGTCTCCTGAGGAAGATGAAGGAGTGTTGCGCCTCACAAAAGCCAGAGAGAGTTATGAAACTAGATAAACTGTGTATAAAAGGATATCAATGACAGAAGGTAAAGTACATCACTGAACTAAAATCCCAGGGGCAGTCAGAGACTGACAAATCCCCCAGGAACATTGCATTAATGGCATTCTTTAACATTTTACACTCATAGGCTTTCTTTCAGAATAATTCCCAGGACAATTAGCCAAATCAGAGTATTAGCATGTAACTGAAGAACACACCAACATTAAATTTGTGGATGTACCATCTTTAACTTATCTTTCATCTTCATTGGCTTTGGAAATGATCAATTATTATTATTTACAATTGTTGTACTTCATTGGGTTTGCTACATTCTTGAATAAACTACCAATGGTATGATCCTAATTGTGGACAAAGCTGCATCACGATGTTTAAAGAACATAAGAAAGTTTAATGTAAACACACTTCCATTTCTAAACTCCAACCTTCTATTACTGCTTCAATTCTAGGCAATGGGACATCCTGTAATGTCATTAATCCGTGTGACAGTTCACCATGTTCACCCAATGCTGACTGCACTAACACAGCAGGGAATTTCAGCTGCACATGTAAAGACGGATTCACAGGTAACATCGTGACCAGTCCAATCTGCTAGACAATGCTCTTTCAAATGGAACACTCAGATTCAGTGAGTGAAGAACGAGCAATCTAAAATGTACTGCAGACATTACTTAACTTTCTTCTGCAAATATCCAACTCAATTGATGAATATTTGTTTTATCTCCTGTGGCAATGCTTCAGGTAAATCAGGATGACAAGCAGTTTATTAATGACTGAAGAGATACTCAATGACTGATACTTTGTAAAAGGAATGCACATGGAACTGTCAATATTCACAGCCACTGGTCTTGATCTTCTGGACTCTGGCTGGGTTGGAGACTAGACACACCCTGACACAGATTAACCAGGATCCCTCACAAATCTCGACCCACTGAGTTTTCAGAATTCAGAGGTGGAGTATGTTGATGATTTTCACTGCACAGCTGGCCTTTGACAGGGTCTTTCTGTTACACATTAGTAGACACATGGTCCTTGGATGGAGGTAGTTCCAGTTTCAGTGGCAAGGAAACTGAGATCTTCCTCATGCTGCAGCCCTCATCTGCTGTCACAGCCATTGATACCACATGAATATCTTCTACTGAATCACCACTGGGGCCTTGTTTTAAATTATGTTTTGTCTGGTTCCACACCTCTGACTTTACTATTTTGGATGGCCCTGTCAGGCGTTGAGAATTCCTGACAGCATTGTTCCCGATCTCAACAGGGCACTCAAGCTTGTCCACCATATCAAGGTGGCAATCCCCGGATGGGAATTCCCTATGTACTGATCCATTGTAGGTGCAACTTTTTAACATTGTAAAAAGTTATGAATGCATAACTTTTTTTGAACCTTTTTTCATCCTGGCAACTGCCACCGTACAGTTCAATTCCTCAACATAGCGCATAGTGTGTGAATGGGTATGGAAGAGCCACACCGTGTCACGAGAGTCATAAGGGGCCTGTCTGAGGGCATACCTTTGTATGCGGGAATGAGGAGAGGACTGGCATACCTTGGCATGGGTTATGAGGTGGCATGAAGTGTTTAAGGGGGCATGAGACATCTGAGAGTGTGTGTGGCTGGTAAACGGGTTTAAGGAGTGAGGATTGTTGTGTTTTTCAATGCACCTGGGATAAAGTCCCACAGCACTGAGGGAGGCCTTTAAAACAGCTCGTCTCCACAGGCAGCAGCCCCTGTGGCTAGATCCAGAGCGCAACTGAAGCTTGCACCAGACCTTTCGTAATAAAGATCAAACCTCAAGAGCTAGTTTTTCTGAAAGTAGTCATGCAAAGCCAAGGATATCCCCAATTTCCACTAACCATCACAATGATGAAAACCCAGCAAAAAATATATGACTTGCAAATGCTTGTTGATGGTATTGAGTAGAAACATGCATGAAATACATTATAATGTTGCTAATTACTGCGAGACTTTGCTGTCATCACTTCAAAGAAAGCAGTGTGCATGTGGGTAGGTTGCATATGTTCCACTACGTGTGACACACTGTGTGAGTCACTGTGTGTTATATTTGCTCTCCTGGATGTAATATTTTGTGGAAACTGAAAAACCCACTCAAATACATATTCACATAAAATTTTAATTAATTAATTATTAAATAGATGTTAAGTACAAGCATTTATTTTTATTGCAGACATCTGCCTACTCAAATTCCTAATGTGCATTCTTTTTTATTGCCCAACTTTAGGAAATGGTACAATCTGCCTTGCAGTGCCATGTTTCAATTTCACTTGTCCTTCCCCATTCTGCAACAACGGAGGAACCTGTGTACCAAACCTTGCTGATGGCTGCAAACCATTGTGCCAATGTCCAAGTCAGTACAAAGGAGAGCGGTGCACAAGTCCAGAACAGCAGTTCATTGCACAACCCCTGTCAAGTATGTTCAAATATCTGATATATTATAACTTCAGAATTTTGTCATTCAATCTCATTACAATTAAGTAATTTTAAACACAAGTAGGATTGTTCTCACACTGTTTTAAGTGAGAGTCAAATACTTGTCTTGTGCCAGACTGGAAGATAACAATGTGGTTGACTCTTAACTGCCATCTGAAATGGACTAAAGATTCAGTCAGTTCAAGAGCAATACAAGATGGATAGCAAAAGTGGACCATGCCAGCAATGCCCAATCCCAATTCAACTGATAATAGAAGAAGAATTTCCCTTTATTGAAATATATTTCACAAGTATCCAGAGTGAGATCATGGCCAATTAAACAATCATTGTTCTGTGAACTTCGCTGGAGCACTGTAGCCATCCTGAGGCAGAGATCATAGATCATAGAATCCCTACAGTGTGGAAACAGGCCCTTCGGCCCAACAAGTCCACACTGACTCTAAGAGCATCCCACCCAGACCCATCCCCCTACAACCCACCTAATCTACACATCCCTGAACACTACGGGCAATTTAGCATGGCCAATCCACCTACCCTGCACATCTTTGGACTGTGGGAGGAAACTGGAGCACCCGGAGGAAACCCACGCAGACACAGGGAGAATGTGCAACCTCCACACAGACAGTGGCCCAAGGGTGGAATCAAACCAGGGTCTCTGATGCTGTGAGGCAGCAGTGCTAACTACTGAGCCGATGTTGGCCAGGGATCAGGGCGGCATGTGGCGCTGGCGGACTAGAAGCTCAGGGTGTTTTTTGAAGACAGAACATAGGTATTCTGTGAAGCAGTCACCCAGGCTGTGCTTCATACCACCTACCATCCCACCAGCATCCACATCCAGAGGATCGTTAGCCACATTTCCGCCATGTCCAGTGAGATGTCACCACCAGACACATATTCCTCTCCACTCCCTTGTCAGCTTTCTGCAGGCAACGTTCTCCCCCAGGACACCCTGATCCACTCTTCCTTCACTCCCAACACCCCACTACAGCCCCATGGCACCTTCTTCTGCAACTGCAGAAGGAGTAACACCTGTCCATTTCTTTCCTCCCTCCCCAGTATCCAAGGGCCCAAACACACCTTCCAAGTGAAGCAACACTTCACCTGCACTTCCCTCAATCTAGTCTACTGCATTCGCTGCTCACAATGTGGTCTCCTCTACATTGAGGAAACAAAGCGTAAATTGGGTGTCCACTTTGCAGAACATCTACGGTCTATCAGCAAAAAGGACCCTGATTTCCAGTTGCCTGCCACTTCAAAACACCACTCTGTTCCCTGGCCAACATCACTGTCTCAGGCTTGCTGCAGTGCTCCAGCAAAGCTCAGCGTTAGCTAGAAGAACATCACCTCGTTTTCTGCTTGGGGACACTGCAGCCTTCTGGACTCATTATTGAGTTCAAGAACTTTAGGGTTTGAGATCTCCCATGTCCTTACCCCAATTTCCACATGCCAGGTTTTGTTGTCACATAGTCTGCTATTACATGCAACCCATTGTTAGCCACTAACAGTCCCAATCAATAGCTATTCACCCTCCTAGCCAGATCATTATCCACTCCTTTGCTGTCCAATTGTTCTTCTTTCTCTTTGGGCTCTATCCCCACCTATCATTTATTCCTTGCCCCATCCCCCTACCCTATCTTCTGCATATAAACCATTATTTTCCTAGCTACCAACAGTTCTGAGGAAGGGCCACTCAACCTGAAATGTTAACTCTGCTTTCTCTCCACAAAGGAGGGTAGCACAGTGGCTTAGTGGTTAGCACTGCTGCCTCACGGCTGTCTGTGTGGAGTTTGCACATTCTCCCTGTGACTGTGTGGGTTTCCTCCAGTTTCTTCCCACAATCCAAAGATGTGCAGGTTAGGTGGATTAGCCATATTAAATTTCCCATAGTGTACAAGGATATGTAGGTTAGGTGGATTAGTAATGGGAAAAGCAGGGGTGGATCTGGGTGGAGTACTTTTCAAAGGGTTGATATGGACTTACTGGGCTGAGGAGCTATTTCCACATTATAGTGATTCTATGATTCTAAAATGCCGCCAGACCTGCTGGGCTTTTTGCACAATTTTTGTTTTTGTCTCTAACTTACAGCATCTGCAGTTCTTTTAGTTTTTGTCATGTTTCTTTCATGGACAAACAGTAGTAAGATTAAATGTAGCAAGGAATTAAAAGGCTAATGTATCATTCTGTAATGCCATTTAATGTACTTATAGTCTTTGAGGATTCCATTTCAACTTTCTGAACTTCTGGTCATGAGATGCTAAATGTCACCATTATGTTACAATGGTGTTGCTCAGAGGTTAAAAATTGGACCAGATCAGAACAATGGGAGGTGGTGGCCAAGTGGTATTATCACTAGACTATTAATTTGGAGACACAAGTAATGTTCTGGGCATCAGAGTTTGAATCCCACCATGGCAGATGGTGGAATCTGAATTCAATAAAAAACTGGAATTAAGAGTCTAATGATGACCATGAAATCATTGCTGATTGTCAGGAAAAAAAAATCTGGTTCACCAGTGTCTTTTAGGGAGGGAAATGGTCATCCTTACTTAATCTGGCCTATACGTGACTCCAGACCAACAGAATGTGGTTGACTCTAAACTGACCTCTGGACAATTAGGAATAGGCAATGAATAATGGCCTAGGCAGCAACACCCAGATCCTGTGAATGAATCAAAAAAATTTCCCTCTCCTGAAGGTAGTTTACTTTATGAGCATACAAAAAGTGGCAAAAATGTCAGATTTCAGAATTTTCAGTAGCATTTACACATACCAATTGAGAAAGTATGTTTTTCTTCTTGTTTCAGCTCTTCCAAAGAGATCTGTTAATATTACATTGAAGCTACCGAATGTTAATGTGACTGTCTTAAAAAACAGAAGCAGCACAGACTACAGGACTCTGAGTACTGTCACTGCAAGTAGGGTACGATCTGATTTATTGTTGTTTGTTAAACATTGCTTAATGAAGACCAATGGTGATTTAACAGATCATAGACATTTAAATTGATCTGAGACAATAAATCCTTATACTTAGTTATGATCAAGTGAGAAGGGATTAAGCCAGCCTTACAATTCAACAAGATCATGGCTGATCTGTCCCAGGTCTCAAACCCTTTATCGTGCCAGCACAGCATAGCCCTCAATTCCCTGATATTTCAAAAATCTATTACCTCCTTTTTACATACTTTCAGTGATCCAACCTCCACATGGAGACTAATTTAAAATTTATTTATATTAATTTAAAACTGAGTTGTGACGGAATCCTTCTCCTGGAAGGTAGTGAATGGAATTCTCTATCCCAGAGAGTCATGGAGGCTACATCACTGGAAGTATTTAAAGAGGGGGTAGATGGATTTTTGAAATATCAGGGAGTTGAGGGCTACACTGAGTTGACACAAAAGAGAAGTTGAGGCCTGGGACAGATCATTTATTACCTTTTTTAGGACAGCAGAACCCCTAGGCATCAGGGGCTGAATGTACCACTCCTCTTTCTTATGTTCTTACATTCACTGAGTCATACAGTAGAGCTAGTTAGGAAAACATTAGGCCTGCAACTGTAACCAGTATCCCCACCAGCCAACATCACTTTGGCCCAAAACTGGTCAGTTAACCTAAAAGAAGGTTCAGGCCCCAAAACCTTGGCTTCGCTGGTCAGCCCAAAAGTCAAAAGCTACTATTTCTGTATTTTCCAATGAAACAGGAGAACAGGAAGTTGTTTATATTTTCTCAAGCAGTTACCTGGTTGACTAAAGTACTGCATGGTGCATAGACTGCACTGTCACCACACAATGCGGTGTAAGTTTTGTTGTAGCTGATTTAGTTTTTACGTATGCCTTTTTACAAAAGAATTATTGTATGATCTTAAAGAAGAGTTGTTGCTGAGGAAATACTCAAAGACTATGATTAAAAAATGCAAATACAATATTAGTTTATCTGGTAATTCAGAAAATCATTATGTTCTAAGATTTACCATGACAATAAAGATTTAATCAACAATTCCTTTAAATTCCTTAGCTCCTGGATTTTCTCGGAAAAGTGCGGCACTTTGCTGAGAATTTGGAAGCTGTTTTCTGGTTGGTACAGTTTAAGTCACAATCAAAACATATTCATATTTATTTTGAAACCATAAATAAGTACTGTTAAATAAATATTACTCTCTTATTGATTGGTTGGAGTGATACCAGGCTAAAAAGGAAGATGGTTATGGTTTTGGAGGGGAGTCATCTCAGCTCCAGGACATCTCTGCGGTAGTTTCTTAGGGTAGTGCCCCAGGCCCAATCATCTTTAGCTGTTTCATCAATGACCTTCCCTCCATCATAAGGTCAGAAGTCAGGATCCTCACTAATGATTGCACAATATTCAGCACCATTCGTGACTCCTCAGATACTGAAGTAATTTATGTTCAAATGCAACAAAACGTGGACAATTTCCAAGCTTGGGCTGAAATGTAGCAAGTAATATTTGTGCAACACAACTGCCAAGCAATGACCATCTCCAATAAGAGACAATCTAATCACTGCCTCTTGACATTCAATAGTGTTACCATCACTGAATCCTCTACTATCGACATCCTTGAGGTTACCATTGACCAGAAACTGAGTTGGATTCACCATATAAATACAGTGGCTACACGAGCAGGTCAGAAGCTAGGAATACTGCAGCAAGTATCTCACCTTCTGATTCCCCAAAACATGTTCACCATTTACAAGATGCAAGCCAGGAGTGTGATGGAATACTCCCCCCACTTGCCTGGATGGGTGCAGGTCCAGCAACTCTCAATAGCTTGACAAAGCAGCCTACTTGATTGGCATCATTCCACAAGCATCCACTCCCTCCACCTCCAACACTCAGTGTATAAGAAGAAGGCAATGGCCTAGTGGTATTATCACTGGACTGTCAATCCAGAGACCCAGATAACGTTCTGGGGACCTGGGTTCGAATCCCATCAGAGCAGATGGTGGAAATTTGAATTCAATAAAATATCTGGAATTAAGAATCTAACGATGACCATGAACCCATTGTTGATTGTCGGAAAACCCATTTGGTTCACTTTAGGGAAGTTTCCTCTGGCCTACAAGTGACTCCAGACCAACAGCAATGTGGTTGACTCTGAACTGCCTTCTGGGCAATAAATGCTGCCTGGTCAGCGATGCCCTCATCCTGTGAATGAATAAAGAGGAAAAAAAGCTACCTAAAAGATGCACTGCAGAAATCCTGCCAAAGATCCTGAGACAACACCTTCCAATCCCACAACCACTGCCATCTGGAAGGACAAGGGCACCACATACATGGGAACACCAGCACCTACAAGTTCCCCTCCAAGCACAGCATAAACACAGAAAAATGGATTTGTAAAGGTCCATATCTCATACATTGCATGCTGCCTACAGACAAAGGGAAGAATTGAGTATCATTGCAATGGTTGTATGAGAACTTCATGTGCACGCATAGGTTGGAGAGAGATAAAGGAGCGGACTGCTAAAGGTGTGTTAATCTGTAACAAGTTGTATGGGAGAATGGTGGGATAGTCACTGTATGGGGGTTAGCAGCTGAACGTGTTGCCCATCTTTTCTTTCCCATGCTTCAGAGGTGCTGGATTCTTATGGTGCACTGTCTCCAAGTTGGACTGTCCACATTTTGCTTACTTCCTTGACCATGGTCAGAAGTCACACGACATCAGGTTATAGCCCAACAGGTTTATTTGAATTCACAAGCTTTCGGTGCGCTGCCCCTTTGTCAGGTGAAAATTGTGAAATGGTGTCCTCCTCTTCCCACCCTTGGGAAAGATCACTTCATGCAGTGCCTCACATTCTGCAGCAGGTCCTGCAGATCAGAGTGAGATCCCCAAAGAGCAGCGTACTAGCAATTGCTGCAACACCAAGGCTCCATGTTAGTTCAGAATTTCTGATTGATGCTCAGGTCCTTCAATAAAAATCCTTCTTTTGACAGAATTGACGTGTCATCTCATCTAGTTCCGGGCACCATGTTTTAGGAGGCAGAGAATGGAATGTTCACATACTGTTTCCGCACCCTTTCTAAATCAGGAGATGGATAAATTGGCGAAACTATTGTTCTTCAATTGTTGAGGGAAGTGTTCAAAATCCTGAGAGGTTTTGACAGATAAAGAGAAATTGTTTCCATCAGCATTAGGGTCGAGCAGCTGTGAAGAGATTTAAAGTCAGTGGCAAAAGAATCAAAAGTGACATGAGGAATTTTTTTTTCCACGTCAGTGCTTAGAATGTGGAATGCACTGTCAGAAAGGCTGCTGGAAGTCAACTTAATTGTGGCTTTCAAAGGGGAATTGGATACATACCTGAAGGGAAAGATGTTGTAGGGCTATGGGGAGAAGACCAGGGAATGGGACTGCTCTTGCAGAGAGTCAGATACCAGCTTAATAGCCAAATGGCTTCCTCCTATAGTATAACCATATGACAATTCTGTGGTAATGTATAAACAAGCTGATTAATTTATCCCTGCTGCTTACCAACAGGTCACAGGGCGACATCGTAACCACTGCTGTTGTGTCATTATTCAATTACAATGGAAACAGGACTGTAATTGATTTCCTAAATAATGAGCTACATGACGCAATTTTGGAAGCTTTTAATGGCAAACAACGGTTTACTCGTGCTCTATATCCTGATAATTTCACTTTTGGGAATTTAAATGCAGCAGACATTCAAGATATAACTAAATGTAAGTGTAAGATTTTAACATTTGGTAGTTGATATATGATGTATATAAAGTTGGCTTTGTGCCCAGCTGGCACCAGAACTAATGCAGTAAGTCCCAGACAAGATTAAACACACGTAATGTTCAATAAAAGTAAATTGTCAAATAACTTCATCAGGTTTATCAAAATGGACTTATTATGTGGATTCCCTCTTTCAAGAAAATCAAGAATGCCAGATAAAATATACAACAACCAAAATATCAGAAGAGGATCTATATAGATACAATAGAATAATAAATCTGTTCATCATTTTTCAAATATATGTATGAAATCTATCCTAAAAACAATACTTAGCTTGTTTCTTTTGCTTTTTATCCATAAAGTATAAATGTGACCAGCCCTCCAACAATTGTTACAATTCAGCACAAACATTTTGCATGTTTCGCATTTTACATATTAGTGTTGAAATCCACAACAATACAACATGAAGCCAGCACTTGAATGGACACATTAGATTAAAAAAATTGATTGATTTTTGTCCTTATTACAGTATCATATGAAAAGCTACTGCCACATTTCAGCTGCAACAACACTGAATTTGCCGGTTATGAGGTTCTGTGGGATGATCAAAATGGAGTGATTTGCCAGTCTCCCTGTGAAATGAATTACTGTCTCAATCAGGGAGAGTGCAAACATCTGATAACTGGACCAGTGTGCAAGTATAAATGCATTTACTTTAAAATTTTAAACAGTTTCTTATCAAAATATAAGGAAGTTATTTTTCTGCATGGATCACTGCATCCTGCCAACCTCGTACAATAAAGTGATACCTCAAAATGTTTTCATATTATCAACTATTATTAGTGTCCAGGGATGTGCAGTCTAGGTGGATTAGCCATGGGAAATGTAGGGTTACAGGGATAGGGTAGAGGGTTGGGTCTGGGTGGGATACTCTTTGGAGGGTTAGCGTGGACTCAATGGGCTTGAAGGCCTGCTTCCAAATTTCATCATACACCTCCCCCATTCAAAGCCAAGTGCTCACACTTCTGCATATTATTTAAAATTCTTCTCATTGAAACATGTCCACCAAAACACAAACTGTAGATTTTGGAGATATGTTACCACAGTTACCTCATAAGTGGTCATCCATTCATAAGAATGTTTTGAATAGTTGATTCATTTGTTAAGCCGCAGTTTTGGTGGTCTGGTTGTTTCATTTCACTGAAGTGAACAGGTGACTTTGGTTAGGCAGCTAAGCACACCAATTTGGTGGTTCCATCAAATTTAAATTCAGCTTCCAAGAGAATTTTTGGAAACGTTCCTGAAGTTTTCAGAAATAGCTGAACTGACCACTACTTTATTAACTTAAACACTGTAAAATAAAGCAGCAAAAGTACAAATATAATTAAGCAAAGAGGTAGTTAGTGTAGCTCCCAAATGGGCTTCCTAGTTTAGAATAGGGTGTTACATAATCTTAAACTGACCGATTTGCATATTTGAGCAGACTGTATTGGCTGAATATTACATGACCCCACAGCGTTTATTTTCAGCGGAGGTGGGGCAATAACAAGTAAAGGTCAAATGAGTAGCCCACTACCTCCCAACTTGCCCCTCAGCTCCCCTCCATGACATATGGGATGAGCAGACACTGAAATTGGCAGCCAGCTAACCATGTGTTGACATGGGCAAGCTGGCATTCACTTTTTAAGTTGGTGGGAATGTCTTCCCTGAGGTGCCAAAACAAACCCGGCACAAAGCCTTACCTGAATCTTGAATCCATTGGCCATCCAGCATGGACCTGGCTGCAGTTCCAGTACCATCCACCACGGAGCTCCAGTGCTGCCAGCTCAGTTGGCCTTGCTGGCCAATCCATTTAGCTGACAGCTCCAGAGAGTCAGATCAGACATCTTCCCAGGGAGTAGCAGAGATCTCTGTCTGCTTCAATGTTGCCAGTCTGTGCTGCAGTGCATTACAACTGTTGGTTTGGGCCAAGTCTTTTGACAGGCTACTGACTTGCTTTCCGAGTTGTGGAACTGTCACCCTCCTTCTCTGTAATTTTCTACCATATTGACATAGATTGAGAAGACAGTCTTAAAAGTCATGCCCTCCAAAAACTGGGGATTCCAGGTGGCTCTTTCAGCCAGCGTGAAGAGGTGTGGTGTGCTCGGATGTGTCATGAGTTGGAATCCAGGCTAGGATTTGGCCTAGTCGCTGGAGAAAAGGGACGATATTTTGTTTTACACATTACACAAGTAGAATGTGTAAAACAAAATACCATCCCTTTTCTCCAGCGACTAGGCCAAATCCTAGCCTGGATTCCAACTCGTGCCACATCTGAGACTTGTGACTCATTCACAGTGGGAGTCATTGTAATTGAGGCAAACTCTGAAACTTGGGAGAACTTGCTCATCTGCACATTCTCCCCAACATCCTCTGTGACAAGCAGTGTGTTGGAGCTGGTGAAGATTACAACATTGTCCACTCCACCAACCCCCCACAATAAAGACAAGAAGGAATTCTCAGGTTTGATATTACCACATTATAACTTGTTGACCGCTGCTCTACCATAATTAACAAACACTGAAAATAGAAGCAGCATTCATGAAGTACCAATGTGATGGTGAGAGAGATTTATGACCTTGATTTGGTTAACCTGAACATTTTAAAAAAATTTAAATTATAACCTTCCAAACATATGGTATTAATCTATAGGGATATCTACCTATGTGGAACATCAATGATATCAGTGCCTCATGCTGTTTAATGCTTATTCCTAGATGTGTTCCACGCACAATATATTCAAGTTACGGTGATCGCTGTGAACATCTATCAATGAATCTCAGAGCATTTTTTGGCATTCTATTTGGTGCCTTAGCTTTCCTGTTCTTACTGATGTTAGCCATATTTTTTATCATCTGGAAGTGCAAAAAGCCTGGAAGGGAACGACTCATAAATGACACAACCAGGTAAACTGTTTGGTTTTATACGCCCATGAAGAAGGTAGGGGATTATACAAAATGTCAGTGTGTGGAAGTGTAATATTCTGTAGCATTTAAACCTAATGCATGAAGCTATCACCACCCACAAATCAGAAAATGTTGCCATGAATTAAAGCTACCAAACTATCTGAATTGTAATTCAAACTGTTCAAAAACATATCTGAATGAAGAATTAATTTTGTGCACATTTGTATTTATTTGTAGCTGAAAATGCCATGACATAAAAGACGACTATTTCTCTGAATTAATTTCAGTGTGTAGGATGTAAAATTCTGGCCCAGGTCAAGGGAAAATCTGCAATCAGGAAACTAGAAAGTGATACAGTACACATTGCATCCATTTTCCACTCTTGACTTCAGTCATTTTCTTGAAGTGAATGTTTGGGAGGGCTTCTTTCCCCACTCCTCCACTTTATGGAAAAGGGGCATGCCTATAAATATTGTCTGGATACCTCAACCCCTGTTCTTTACAGCTTATGTAGGGCATTGTAGAATGTGTGCCAATGGAAATCTGTTAAAATATCCCAAATATTTAGAAGGGCAAGTTGATACATTGGGAGGTGTGGTAGTTGAGGTGTGTGGGGTGGTGGAGGCAAGGAACTTCTTTCAGAGTCCACTTGCTCCATAAGGAGAAGAAGGTGTGAAGTGAACAGAATGTCTCTGGGCTCCCTTTTGCTGGCAGTTCAGATCAGGTGCTTCAGACACAAGTTTGCAACAACTTGCCTGTTGCTGAGCACGTGCTGAAATTGGAGATGAGGTCTCCAGCCTGTGGCGGGGGTTCGACCAGAAAGAATTCAGCCCCAAAGATTTTTGTTGTCACATTGTCAACAATCTTTGGAAATTAAAGTTATTAAATCGTAAGGTTAAATTGAAAAGAATCTTTTATTCCTCTGACTGTTGTTAATACTCCAGAGTCTGATTAGTTATATGTTTCCTTCACAGCATTTAAATTTACTAACAACTCGAAATTAAATTTATTACAGCTTTGGAGATACAACATTCTCATTCAAAAGTAATCCATGTGAGTGATATCATTATAAACTTCTATGTTTATATCTCAGGCTGTGTCTATTTGTCATCACGTATAACTCAAACATCTATAGCTGTCGCATTATAACTTTGTTTAACACGGTCCAATTCCGCTAGCTAACATATAAGTTAGCATTTTTATAGGTACTGTCAGTAACATTGACATATGTGATTTCTGTTACGCATAGGACCCACTGAATATGTCCCCCTAAAATCTAAACTGTTCTTTTCCAGTGTTGTGTGCATACTGTTAAAATAGCAAGTAATTTGTTTTTAAATCTTTGTGCCTTGAGTTAACGTAACTGCTCACCAAAAATTATTCATCCACCGAAAATTGATTCAACTTTGTAAAAATGTAATTAATTTATGTTCCATTTCAGTATCTTCCAAGTTGAAAACTACCCACATCTTGCCTTCTTTGGGTGATAAGGATGTGCAATCTGTGGCCTGGACTCCAAACTTTGATGCTGTCAAGTCAACTGCAGAGGTATTAAAAAACACTGCTATGTTACAATAACAATAAGCACTGCTTCGTAAAGTGATGTGCATGATGTATATCTGCAATAATACAGATCTTTGATATCTTTCCCAACATAATACACAGTTGTAACTCATGAATCAAACCCCATTTTTCATGTTTCAATACAAGTGAATCTTCTTATCCGTGGCATCCTCATGAGCAATTTCTTCTACACTCACATATCTTTGATATCTTCCCCAACATAATACACAGTTGTAACCATTGTCTAATCAATCATTAGTACAAACTTAGAATAACATCTTTGTTTTTTTTGCTCAGTGCCCCTATTTACATAACACAAGAACCTGTATACAAAGTTTATACTCCAATATTGATTGAAGCTACAATATAATTACTGACTATTGAATATTTATAAATTTCAGTCATATTAATTAATATCCATAAAGATACGTGTAAACAGAAAACTGCAATCTCAATATAGCACATGAATCTATGTACTGCATTTGCGGGATGTGTATATTGGCGATATGGTTTTATTACTTTAATCACGAAACTTAACCTATGATCCTTCTGAACAAAGTTTCCTATTGGCTATGTTCCCAGTCTTTAACCATTCGTTAGGGTTGAGGTTAGGGACATGTTGAAATCTTAGATACATAGTCATAAGGTGGTCCTGTGGTGCAATAGTAGCATCCCTGCCTCTAACCCAAGAGCTTTGGGTTCAAGACCCAATCCAGGACTTGACGGCTAAGGAAGGTGGGCTGGTAATGTGACTAAACAGGTTGTGTGTTAACTTGAAATCCTTCTGACATATGCAAGTGCTCATGGTAAGAGCAGGGGAGATTCCTGATCACCCACAATGGAGCAAAATTTGAGTCTCCACTCTCATTATTTATAGCTCCTGATGACAAAATGCATGGAACATATTGCCAAATTAACTTGAACAATCTAAGAAGATGATTGGCTGGATGGCCATAGTGGATCAGATTGATGCCAAGAGCATGGGATTGAATCCCTGTTCCAGTTGGGATGGATTTGGGACCACCTCCTTTCCCTATATATGGCAATTGTGGCACTGTGGATCAGACGTTCTTTCAGTTAAAGAACTGAAAAAGAAATAGATTATTTATTATGCCTAAAATATTATATTTTTAAGGTAAAAATTGCAAGACCATCAGTCAAGAAAAATGGCACTGACTCAGAAATACCATAAAACCATCAACACAGTACTGAGGAACTTAACGAAGCTTATGGAAAACGAAACACTGGCATAGAAGATTTATTGCACAAAGAATGCACTATAAGGTTATGGGTTTATTAGATATGCATATTTGAGTACGTTTTCAGTTACCTATACTACGAATCAACATTGTCTCCCAAAAGAAGCTGTCAGTAAATTCTATAAAAGCTCATATGAATTAAAGGGCGTGTTTTATTCCTGGTGTCTGAATAAACCCTATTGTTTACAGTTAATTCCCTTTCATTACTTTATAAGAGTTATCAGTAGGTGCCTGCTGTTGAGAATATTATCTAATAATATATAATTCCTCACTTTCACTTCGAAATTGAAATTTTTCAAATCATGATTGCAATAATCTTTAAAATATCCTATTTGTATCACATCAGAGCATTATTTTTATGTTGTTTATATTCCTTTTTTTAATAAGAAAATCGTTTATCAAATTGCACATATTACTATATTAGAATGTGATTTTTGTGGCAAAATACTGTCTAAATATTTAAGGCCTCTGGTGAAGGGTAATAGAATTTACTTCTATAGAATAGAGCTAGAAGAGTCATGTGTGTATTATAATCCAAAACAAATTATTTAAATAATCTATACAAAAAGATATGTGAGAATTTCAGAGATTTAAATAAAGCAATCAACTCATCTAATCAGTGGTAGCATATTTTTATTCGCTTATAATGCTGACAAAACTTGCAATGCCACATCCCTGGTTAACCAGGTTGACAAGAGTTAACAAGAGTTAACTACATAGTGCAGTGCAGGAGTCTTGGGTGGGTCATATTTACACTTACACTCCCCCACCAGAGGGTTTGAAAAGTGGGGGAACACATCAATTCCAGTGGGTGGCCTCTAACTGCTCAACCCCAACCATCCTGAACTTTTAGCAGGATGGCATCAGGCCACCTAATCATTTTTGGAACCCATTGAAGATGTCAAGTGGCTAATTAATGGTTCTGCCCACACCAGTATTTTATCCATGGTGGGGTGATCATATCAAGCATATCAAGCCCCCAGGTATTTATAGACATTTTTTTACTTTTGGTTCCAAAATTTGTTTTTTTTTTAAGAAAGGTCTGGTGTTGCGGCGGGTGGGGGGGGTAGTTTCTGGATGTAAATTCAGTGACTGTCTGGCAAAGTCCTGCATGAAATACATGGAATATTGCACTGTAAAGAGTCTTGGAAACCTCAACCTGGGAGAGACTTAACAAGAAGGGATATGAGGTCGCTGACTAACCAACCACCCCACACCCAACTCTAGAATACAGCTACCTCTCATAGACATGTCGATTTTTACCCACCAAGAATTTGCAAAAAAATGGTCAAAAATTACTGTAACACTAGTTATGTTCATTATTAGTCAGATATTCTAGAAAGTGGACCATAATTCTGTGAGGAGAATGAGTGAGACAACCGTGGCTGGCGCAGTGAGGGGTTTGCATGGACAGAGGTGGTCACTCAAAGGACATGCAGGGTTAGTGGTGTGAGTTTGGGAGATAAGAAGAGTGAGTGAGGGTAAGTATTGAATGAAATAGTGAGAATGCCACAGCATGAGCCTTGATGGGACAGGAGTGCATTTGCAAAGATAGTACCTGGAACACGCTGCCAGAGGTGGTGGAAACAGACATAATGGCAGCATTCAAGAAGCACCTGGACAAATACATGAATAGGAAGGGAATGGAGGGATACGGATCCTGTAAGTGAAGACAATTTTAGAATGGAAGGGCAAAATATGGTGCGGGCTTGGAGGGCCGAATGGCCTGTTCTTGTGCTGCACTGTTCTTTGCATAGTGAATGTGAGGTTTGCTACAGCACAGAGGAAAAGAGACAGCTGAACCATATTAGCCTTATTAACACTGTGTTTACAACACAATAAAATTAAACCCATCGGAGACTCTGATAGTTATTCGAATGGTTCATATCTGGACTTTCCAATAACCAATCCTAGATTTTGCAAATAATTAATTTCCAGACACCTGTTTTGTATCTTGAACAAAAGACTTGATGATTTATTAAATAATAATAACTTTAGCAGAGAAAAATTAAACAAGATTGACTAATTAATGTCTTCAACCCAAAACATTTATTTACAGCCCCAATTCACATAGAAGACAAACAGTTATGGGATAAATAAAAGAAAATACCAAAACTGACCAGATGACTTAAATGGTTTTCACAATGTACTTTTAACAGGCATAGGTATGAACTCCTTGGTTGGCTTTCCCCATCCGCTGATCAGGGTCTCTTCAGTTCACCCATACCATGGTAGCAATTGTTCCAATTCAGATTTCTACTCTTTGAGCTTCAGGCAGCTGGTGTTGGAAATTAGGCACGGAGATTCTGCGTTGTCAGCAGCCAAACTCATCGCCCCAAAAAACAAAGTTCAAAGCAAAAACTTTGTGTCTTATTCTGCCCTGATAGACTGAACATCTTCTCTTTTCTGAAGAAGGGTCCAGACCCAAAACGTCAGCTTTCCTGCTCCTCTGATGCTGCTTGGCCTGCTGTGTTCATCCAGCTCTACACCTTGTTATCTCTTATTACCATTCAACGTCTGTTTGAATGCAGGGTCTCTTCAATACTTGTCAATACTTGCTATCTGTTTACACACAATGCTTTTCCTACAGTTGCAGCATCTTTTAGAACCATTTTCAATCAAGACTCAACCTGCAATTAGCCTCTAGGCCTGGCCTCAGAAACAAACAAAACTTGATGGGTCCATTCTTTATCTCAAGCTGCCCAAAGCCCATAAGTCATTCTCAGTTCATACTTCTCAGTTTACAGCTCCAAAACAACATCAAAAAAGAATAAAAATAATGAAAAATCAGTAAGGGTCTAACAGGAAGCACAGAGAAGAGTGTGGCACTTACCGTGGCAGACCAGAGAAGGTCACTGATCTTTCTGCATTGCTGGCCATTCCTCTGCACTGTAGAGATGGCACTGGCCAGGTGAAAATGCCAGACCAGACTGGCAAGGTCTGGTGGTGCAGCCTTCTTTCTTGATCCTCCAAGAAGAGGTCTCCTCTCCTTTTCCCTCACCCAATCAACTAGGATCTCCAGGTCCCTGTGTGAGAATCATGGCGCCATCTTCTCCTACTCCACTATGTTCTGACTCAACAAGAAGGGCAGCTTTGGAATTCCAATGCTAATCTTTTTAAAGATAGCACATGTGCAACGAAAGCCAGTACTTTTGTAGATAAATGCTGAGTAGCGACTTGTTGCAGGAATGTTGGATGGTAATATGATGCAATGTGTGAGATGCCATATGGGTGAGGTAGGGAATTAATTCGGCAGGGTTGATAAGATATGGCAAGAAAAATCTGCAAGGCCTCACTGCAAAACTCCTCCCTTAAACTTAGCAAACCTCGGACTTAGCCAAAAACCATAAAGTTCAGCCCAAAAGTTTCAAGTTTGCCTGCTCAAATACCAATATCAACATTACTGATCCCATCAAATAACAGCTACAATGTCTTCACAATTGCTCTTCATAAGTGAAACCTGTCCATCATCTCTTATTCTAATTACCTCTTATTTCTAATTTGTGCATATGTGTGTTCATTACTATTTGTCTCATATTTATTAATTAATAGATTCAAGTATAATAGTGAATTCAAGAAAGCATGTTTAAATTGGCTCCTTTTAAAACGTAAGTTCATTGGAATCTGGGAGAAAGATTACCCAAGAGGAAGTGATCCTTTTTAAATTAACCTTTCTCAGACCAACCCAAATGCAGCAAGTGAATAAAGAAGGGGAGCAACATCATTCATTGTCTTGACAACGTGGAGTGAACAATCCCTCTTCCGTACCTACACCAGCCCTAAACCCCACCTCTTCCTCCGTTACATTGATGACTGTATCAGCGCCGCCTCGTGCTCCCACGAGGAGCTCGAACAGTTCATCCACTTCACTAACACCTTCCACCCCAACCTTAAGTTTACCTGGACCATCTCTAAGACCTCTCTCTCCTTCCTGGACCTCTCTGTCTCCATATCGGGCAACCACCTAGAAACCGATATTCATTTCAAGCCCACTGACTCCCACAGATACTTAGAATACTCCTCCTCCCACTCACCTTCCTGCAAAAATGCTATCCCCTATTCCCAATTCCTTCGCCTCCGCCGCATCTGCTCCCAGGATGAGGCTTTCCACTCCCGGACATCTCAGTTGTCCTCGTTTTTCAAGGACCGTAACTTCCCCCCCTCAGTGGTCGAGAACGCCCTCAACCGTGTCTCCCGCATCTCCCGCAACTCATCCCTCACACCCCGTCCACACAATAAGAACCAAAAAAGAATCTCCCTCATCCTCACGTACCACCCACCAACCTCCGGATCCAACGCATCATCCTCCGACACTTCCGCCATCTGCAATCCGACCCCACCACCAAAGACATCTTTCCCTCCCCACCTTTATCTGCTTTCCGGAGGAACCAATCTCTCCATGACTCCCTTGTCCGCTCCACACTCCCCTCCAGCCCCACCATACCCGGCACTTTTCCCTGCAACTGCAGGAAGTGCTACACCTGCCCCCATACCTCCTCCCTCACCCCCATCCCAGGCCCCAAGAAGACTTTCCACATCAAGCAGATGTTCACCTGCACATCTGCCAATTTGGTATACTGCATCCGCTGTACCCGGTGTGGCCTCCTCTACATCGGGGAAACCAAGCGGAGGCTCAGGGACCGCTTTGCAGAACACCTACGCTCGGTTTGCAATAAACAAGTGCACCTCCCAGTCGCGAACCATTTCAACTCCCCCTCCCATTCCTCAGACGACATGTCCATCCTAGGCCTCCTGCAGTGCCACAACGATGCCACCCGAAGGTTGCAGGAACAGCAACTCATATTCCGCTTGGGAACCCTGCAGCCCAATGGTATCAATGTGGATTTCACAAGTTTCAAAATCTCCCCTCCCCCTACCGCATCCCAAAACCAGTCCAGCTCGTCCCTGCCTCCCTAACCTGTTCTTCCTCCCACCTATCCCCTCCTCCCACCTCAAGCCGCACCTCCATCTCCTACCGACTAACCTCATCCTGCCCCCCTGACCTGTCCGTCCTCCCTGGACTGACCTATCCCCTTCCTAACTCCCCACCTACACTCACCTTTACTGGCCCCATCCCCGCCTCTTCGACCTGTTTGTTTCCTCTCCACCTATCCTCTCCTCTATCCATCTTCTATCCGCCTCCCACTCTCTCCCTATTTATTTCAGAACCCCCT